TTTTTTTTTTTTTTTTTCTCTCTCATTAGCTCTAAGCATGTGTGTGATAGCAGAGTGTGATAGGCTGCCTGGCTAAATGTCTGTTGTTCAGAGATGACTATATGCATGACTCATGCAGAGCGAGAAGCGCTGCAGCTCGACCTTGAAGCGTGCTGTCTTTCTCTCTGCCTGTCTGTCTATCGGAGCCTCTCGCTGGCTGGAGATCCTGGCTTATCAGAGTCAGATCGCAGCCAAACTACAGCCGAAACAAAAGGTGGCGACGTTTCCCGAAACACACCTTACACGTTTTTACAACCAATGTCAAACTAGCAGCAGAGGGGGATGGCTTTGAGCCGTATGTGTGTCGCTCTTGTCACACACCATTTGTTTTTCCGAGGTGGGACACAAGCAGGTTGGAGCCCCAGACGGTGCGTTTGGAGGGTAACGTGATTTAAAGATGTGCCTGCCCTCAGCGTCCTGCAGAACGTGCAGGAGGAGAGCGCAGCCAATGAGAGGCGAGGCTCCGCGTTACAGTGACACTGCTGGCTGCTGGGTTATTTATAATACGTGTGAATCTGACCAAATGCAGATTGTGCAGGCAGATGACTAATGTATCAAACACAATGCGTGTATGTCCCAAAAAGAAAAAAGAAAAAAGAAAAAAAAAAAGGTGAATCGTGCTGTGACTAACAGCAGATGTTTACAGTAGCAATGTGGTGCTTTTTCATATGGCCTACAGTTTGTTCTGTGTCCTTTTGGATACATGATTGGTTATCTTACTGTGTTGTGAAACACACGTACTTGCAGTCTCAGGAGGATTTAAGGGATTGTTTGAACCATATGGGCTCACATTCTTTCAGGCTTTTCCGTTTGCTATAAATACACATTATATAATGTACGTGATATACATGAATGCATGTGTACTTTGAAGATGAGCACCTGCTCTCGGTTATTTTGATGTCGGGAAAATTCGAATATAACATCATTGAATGCTTCTTTTATAACATACATATGGTTCTTCAAATGGTGAGCTGCATCTTTAGGTCTAGCACAATGCATCATAGGTGGGAAATGATTTTGGACTCGTTGGAGCACGGTGGTGCTTAGGGCTACATGCTAACACAGTGATGTCATTAAGATGCCAGATTTAATGTCTATATCACTGTAGTTTAGCATGATAGCACTCAACCCTAAGTACAGCTACTCGTAATGGGAGTGTCATTAGTTTTTGTGGTATTTGGTCATAGAATTTTGGAGTAATTACGCAAAAGGTAAAGTGAATCGCTGAAATTGGATCCATTCTGAGGGAAGCATGAGATTTCACTCAAACCTACAAATACCAACCTGCTGCAAAGTTACAACGTCTCCAAAGTTTGAAAGTGTTCATCCTCTGAGGAGAGTAAACTTCATCTTAGTCCATCTAACAACTGTCGAGATGTTTCGCTCTGGACCAGAGCAAAGACGCTTCAAGTCCTGTTAAAAATGAAATGCATCTTTGAGTCCATCTAACATCCATTTTTGTGCAAAACAGATGATGGAAAAAGAAATGTCTCAAAGCGTATAAAAGTCTCTAAACGTGTGACTCCGCTGATCTCCAGGGATCACTACGGTGCTGACCATGACCACCATCAACACCCACTTGCGAGAGACGCTCCCTAAGATCCCCTACGTCAAGGCTATTGACATGTACCTGATGGGCTGCTTTGTGTTTGTGTTCCTGGCCCTGCTGGAGTACGCCTTCGTCAACTACATCTTCTTCGGCCAGGGCCCCCAGCGGCAGAAGAAGGCGGCTGAGAAAGCAGCCACGGCCAATAACGAGAAGCTGAGACCCGACCCCAACAAGGTGCGTGTGCAGCGGTGAAAACGTCCTCTCGAGGTATCTGTGCTGTCTGTTAATGTGTGTGTTTGTTTCTGTGGGAGCAAATGACTTCTTCTCCTCTCAAGGTCAATGTGATGCTGTGATCAACGCTTGATGTCCTTTACCAGCACTCTTTACTCCTGCTCTAGCTCTCCATTTTCTCACTGGTGTAGCCTTGTGTATCAACTTGATTATTCAGACTAGGATCTGAAAGAGTGAATGCAGAAGCAATGACTGGCTTATACTTTATCTCCATATTTCTGTGTCTCCCAAAGGGCAAGGCGCTTCGGAAAAATCACTGGCTGCGGTGCCAAAGCCTTCTCTTTAAATTTTATTCAGCTGCTAAAGTTAGCAAGAACAACAGCAACGTAAAAAGAAAAAAATAAAACACCCTTTCCTTCTGAGTGTGGCAAGCTACGATTTCCCCCTAAGTAACAGTGCTGATTTTGTATGCTTGCAGTGGCTGGTGGGAAATGTAGTTCAGAGAGATGATGCTCTGTATGCCAGAATGAAACAGAGGGAAATTGACGCATATGACTCGATGTGGGATCCCATCTTTGTGGACGATGCCGCATTAGGACTAGGCGAGCAAAGAAATAAGGTACTGGAGGTTTTGAAAGTCAAAACTAACAATGTCATCAATCTGAATCAATCCAGATCAGAGGAAAATGCTGTAGTTTTTGTGCATTTCTTTGATTTTTATAGAGTTTTAAGGCAACCTTGATCATCACTCCCACCATTGTGTTTTTTCCCTCTCTTGGTTTGCTCTTCATGCATTTTCCTGACAAACATGGCTCAGCAGTTTGATTTCTGCAGGCATTAATTTAATCTTAACTTGGGCTGTACATCTGAATTAATGGGAAATGATAAATATGGCAAGAGAAAAAAAAAAAAAGAAAACAAAACATCAGTAGCTTCTCCTAAGATAATATCATCCAGATACAAATACTGTACAATCTCTGAGGCAATTGATTAATCTCTTAAAACTAAGTGAAGCAACTGGGGAAAACAAAAAAAAAAAAAAGAATCGTCAGATAAGAGAAAGAAATCATTTGCAGTTTGATGAATAGTACCAACAAAGTGGCTTCGATTCAAAGTGAGTTACACAAAAATAACAAAATGCATCAAGCTGACATTTGCAGCAGGACGGGATTGGATTATAGGGATGTTTTTCCTCAGAAGTCAGGCTATGGATGAAGAAATGTTGATCCGAATTCACTTCCCACAACGTCCTTCCTGACCTGCCCCGAACCTTTTAGCCTCTCCTCCATCTTTGCAAAGTCCTTACTATTTCTCTCAACCTTCTCCTGTCACATTTTGTTTCCTTTGCTTTCTCTTTTTTTATTCAGTTTGTCTTGTGAATCGGCAGAATTTTAACCACATTCTGGTTGAAATTCTGAGATGACAATGAAGATTTCTCCATGAGAATTAGTTTGTGGAGTGCGTTGTGCTCTTCCAGGAATGTTACCTCATAGTCTTGTGGTCGTATTATCACTCAGATATTGATTGACAAGATGATCAATGATTTATTTAGTGCTTTAAAAGTGATTTAAAAAATTTTCTTCACTGTAAGTAACACAGTTTTTGACTCATTTGCATTACCCATTCTAGCACCTCATCAGTATTTTTACACAGTGAATTGCTTACTGATCATTAGAGCTATGCTTGTTTTGACTTTAGAAAAAAAAAAAAACACACTCAGATTTCCCCTTGGCAGTAACTTCTCATGGCTCCACCTGTTTTTACACCTTCACACAGATGACCCCCGACGACAACATCCTGTTCAGCACCCTGGAGATGAAGAATGAGATGGGTGGTGCCGGGGATCTGTCCCGGGGCCTGGGAGCACCCGGAGACCCCCGCAACACTATGCTGGCTTATGATAGCTCAACACTGCAGTACCGCAGAGCAGCCATGGCCCGCCAGAACTATGGCCACAGCGCCTTGGAGCGCCACGCCCAGAAGAAGTCGCGCCTACGGAGACGGGCCTCCCAGCTCAAGGTGAACATCCCAGACCTGTCCGACGTGAACTCTATTGACAAGTGGTCCAGGATGATCTTCCCCACTGTCTTCTCCTTCTTCAACGTGGTCTACTGGCTCTACTACGTCCATTAAACCCGGCGGAGTCCGGCGGCCAGCTCGTGGCAGGCATGTAAAGAAAGGGGGTGGGGGTGGGGGGGGTGGGGGGGGGAGCGAGAGAGAGAGAGAGAGAGAGAGAGAGAGAGGGGAGGGATTTAGGGAGAAATCAGGAAAGAGAGATGACGTGAGATGAGATGAATGAGAGGATGAACAGTGCACCGACTTTTTTTAGCTGGTTCGTTTTAGGAAAAGTGAGGAGAATGCAAAGACTTTTAGATGGACTGCAGCAGCACCCAACACTTCAGTCAGCAGTGACTCTTTTAGGATTTTGGGAAACACCTTAAAGCGACTGACAAGCACTCGAAAAAAGAAGAGTGAGTTTTAAAAAGACAGAAATGGTGCCTGTTCCAGAATTTCAATATATCACTAATATTTGTCATTCGTAGCTTACTCTCTGTGGATCAAATATTTATGCTTGTGTTTGCATATACTTTAAGGATTTCTTTTGTTTAGTATCTATTTACTTCGTAGCCGAGCTGTCTGCATCCAGGAAAGCTTTATAAATGATTTTAAAGGAGTCATCCTTGATAGTCTATTTTCCTATAATTACTGTATATCAAAAACATCCTTTAAAAGCATGCTTATGTTTGATTTCATTTGCATCTCAGCCATGATGATGACGGAGCGCAAAGCATTTTAGTTTTTTTCCTAGTTGAGGTTATTCTGTCAGTTAAAAGTTTGCAGCTTTGGCGTGGATGGTTTGAGCGTCGCTGGATGACAGCGGGTGGACAGCAGGGGGCGCTCTCCTCTCTGGACGTCCCTGTGGGGCTTTAATGGTGCCAATGCTGAACAGAAAAAAAAAAAAAAAAAAGTTTCCTCAGTTTGTTAAAGTCCCACATTATCTGGTGAAAGAGCAGAACTGTGGACACTGACGCTTTGGCCAAGTTTATGTTTTTGCTTTTTCGCTGTGCTGACAGAATCAAGTCCATTTCACCACGTGTATTTATTTGTTTACTTCTTTATTTATTTTGCTTAAAGAGAACATTCGACTCCGTGCTTTCTGCCATCGCGTGGAGGAGCTTCAGAGGCGGAGAATGGCTTTAACATGACTTAAGCTGGTGTAAGAACTTTTCTGATGAGCTGAGTTTCATTGCGACCAGAGTTGCTGCATAAATATGGCAATCCACAATCATCATTATCAGTAGAATTGAATGATAGAAGTATGATGCGTTCCATTGTGATTAGGTTTCTGTTTTGAAAAACTGTAGATAAACATAAATCATGTTTAAAGAAAAAGAGATGATTCATTTTTATAAATCAATACTCACATTATTGTGTAAATATTATGGATTTATTCTATTTAAATGGGTCTTTGTTGTTGTTTTTCCAGTTGAATTACAGATCAAATGTTCCATTCAGTCAAAAAACAAAAAAAGAAAAAAGAAAAAAGAAAAGAGCAATTTAACTGAGGAAAAAATGAAAACACAATTCACAACTTTGCTGACTCTGTACTTTTGGGACTTTTCTCTCTCTCTTTTTTTTCTTTTTAATGGACTCTAAAAAGCATCTACTTGCTGAAACTAAAGCACTTCCAGACACCAGTGACTCTTGGGTCAATGTTTTGCTCTCTAGAAACGACTTAACAAGGACCCCACTATCCAGGCATTGAAGTCAGGCATATTTTGTACAAAGTTTCTGTAAATTCCAATTGTAATATTTCATAATGACTGTAAATATCTTGTGTAATGATTGTCAGCAATTATGAAGATGTATCTAAATTCAATTAAAACTCAATTCAGTCTATCACTTCAATAACAGAGTACATGGGTGGCGGTTTAATGTGTCCCGTGTGAATGCGAGGCTGATTGCTGGCTGTCGGGCTCATGGCTGATTGAGTGTCTGAATGAGCGAGTGAACAACTAAACCCGACACAGGGAGTGAGTAGGCGAGCGAGAGAGGCGAATGTTAGGGGTGAACAGGGAGATGCGAGCGCTGCAGCTGGGGACTATTGGCTGCATAATGGATGGAGAGGCAGAGGAGCTGGAGCGAGAGGCCGCGGTGGTGGTCTGGGCTGAGTGCGATGGGCTCGGCTGGGGTTGGAGCAGGAGCCGAGCTCGACCCCGGCCTCGGGGGACATTAACGCAGAGAGCCATAGATATGGAGGCACTCTGTGGACTCAACTGCGGCCCTCTGGCTGCAGGGGCCGGAGCTCCTGCTACAACAACAACAGCAAAAAAAAAAAAAAAAGACAGGAAGAGAAAGGAAATAAAGGCCAAGAAAGAGAGCATGTCCACCCAAGCAACCATCCATGCCTCGACCTCGAACTGCATCCTCCTTTCAACTCAACAAACCGACTTGCACTCTACGCTGCTTCCTGACCCGACCGCTTAAATGGAGGCTGGTGAATATTTGATGGTGCAAAACCCTGAATATTTAATATTTAAAAAGGGATTTTGTTCTTTCGGGGACTAATGTGCAGCTAATGTTTGATTTTTTTTTCTTTTTTTTTTAACTTAGAGGACCAAAAGAACACAATGAGATACCAAGTGTGGAAATATCTGATGAACATTATGAATTAGAAATAAAGAAAAGTTGGATTTTGAGTTTTCTTACATGGTTTAAAATACATAGAAAACCTTAAATGTGCAGCAAGCAGGCTTTTGAACAATGAACGTACAACGGAGAGAGACTTCTCGTGTTTTAGTGTGTCGAGCTGGAGTTTGTTTTGGAGAGAGCAGAATCATGCTCTGGGAAGGACTGTGCGTGTGAGCAAATGTGTTAATGTGATGCTTCTGGGAGTAAAAACCATCTAAAAAAAAGCCAAATAGCTGTAAAAACTGATGTAACGTGACACGAAACCTTGTTCCTGGTTCCTCCATGCTTTGGTAAAAATCCGCTCTAAACCGCTGTTGCCCCTCAGTATAACAGATGTATTATCTCACTACAGTAGACAGATGGTTTGTGCTAAATTGGCCCTCTCTCTCTCTCTATCTCTCTCTATCTTTTCCTTTTTCGCTTTTCAAAAAGGGCATTAGTGATGACATGTAAGAAAGCGAGAGGAGGGAGGGGGGGGCAGGAGGCAGATGCTTTCTGCTTTGTAGTGTTTCCATGTCACTGGCGTAATTAGTAATGCACAGACCTCTGCTCTTTGGAATCATGTGTAGTGTGCTGTAGCTCGAAGAATGTGTTTTGTTTTCTATGTGTGCGTTGTGTGGACTCACAGCTGCGCCACTGTGAAGTCGGTGTGTAAGCCAAGCCAAACCCAGCCAGCGCTGACTGGGACGGGTGAGAGGGTGAGTCTGCCACACTCGCACCACGCCACTCCCCTGCTGTACTCGTATTTAGTGGAAAAACACGCCGAGCTACCGTGGAGGGATGCCATCTATTTACAGACAAAGTAGAAAATAATTAAGAAATCAGATTTGTAATAAATCACCTGCGAGATGCATGCTGTCCTTAGAATCCAAAAATAAAGCTCCATATATCTCCAGGTGCTTTAAAACATTCAGCTTCCCTCCTGTTACTATAAATAAGCCTGCATTTCAAATTTAAGCACAATAAATGACTGACCCGATGCAAATCAGGCCTCTTTAAACAGGTTTGGCAGCCTGCTCTGGAAAAGACAACATATGTCAACATGAGGAAGTGGAAAGCATCCTACATGCATGCCATCTGTGCAAGAAGCTGCTTTGTTGTAGTCCATCAAACATAAGAGTCTCACACACACACACACACACACACACACATGCATGTGAACAGATTCGTTCACCCACTTCTGCGTGATCGACAAGATCGGCTCTCAACATGCGAACCTGAAAATTTTACAAGCATCTGCCCTCATAGAGCCGTGACGAGAAATCTTCCTCCTGTCAAAGCTTCTGACCTCTGACCTTTCCAGTGAAACAGCAGCTCAAGTGAGAACTGGATCTTCCTGTATGCACCAATAAAGAAACGTATTATTTTAACACCTTCAGTGTTATTAAGAAGAACAACACAGTTGGTAGTGTCTTTCTAACAGTGTGACCTGCATTCTCCATCTGTACACTCCTGTATCTGGTGTGAGAGCTCTCTGTGTTCATGCAGACTCTTCATATATGTTTGCCCCAGGCAGTCTGCTCAGTGTTGTGTTGTCAGTTCACATCTCTTTATGACCCACTGCACCAATTTTCTGCACTGCCAGTATCAGATTGTCAGCTCATTTGTGGGTTTTGTCTCGTATATGCTGTCAAAGTGGGGTTTTTTAGGTGAAAGTGTGTTAATTTTTTATTTTTCGTAAAACTTACTCAACTACAGAGATATCAGCGACTCACCGTGCTGCAAAGTGGAAGAAAAATCACAGATTCTGCCGAAATTAGATTATTGGCAGCAAAATTAAAATCGGCTGAGTCACTGGAGCACTCGCAGCTACATTTCTGGGTGTAATTAGTTGACTTATTTTACCTAACTGATGCAGGAATGCAAACACACCTGTCAATGCAAGGGGCGGACTCAGACGAGGTGTGCTGTCACTTGTTTCAACACACAGGCCTCACACATTCATAGAGAATCACTGAAAGGAGAGCATGGGACAGACGAGTGTCTGTAAATCGAAGGAACGGTGAGGTTTGAGAGGATGGCAAGGAAAAGTTGGTGAGAAGAGGGAAAGCAACAACCAGAGCCATGACGTGGAGGAGTCCTCTGGCCCTGATGAGGGACGCTCTGCGAGGTCAGAGGGCCCGAGAGAAGGACCTCCGCAACCTGGTGTCCAACCTGCCTTATGAGGGACTGGAAAAGGCGAAGCAGCCCAACCGCTACTTCCCATCAAATGCCATCAAAACCACCAAATACACCCTTCTCCTCTTCATCCCCATGAACCTTTTTGAGCAGTTTCACCGTCTGGCCAACATCTACTTTGTGGGGTTGGCTATTCTGAACTTTATCCCCGTGGTGAACGCATTCCAGCCTGAGGTAGCTTTGATCCCCATCTGTGTCATCTTGTCCCTGACGGCCCTGAAGGACGCCTGGGAGGACTTCAGGCGGTACCAGTCGGACAGGAAGCTCAACAACACGCCGTGTCTCATCTACAGCAGGTAACTGACCGGAAACACAGGGTTGTGGTGTTTACGCATGATGTGACAAAGTGGAACACTGTTGCGGTTAACGGCACCTCCACATGTGTGTTTGTGATTCTTATCTTCCTGCTATGTGTAGATCTGTGTGATTGTGTGCTACGCCTCTGTGTGTGTGTGTGTGTTTTACCTCCTCTGCGTTTCAGCACCCCGTGGGAATTTTTTGACTTAGAAATAGAAAAATGTGTGGGAGATTATTCCTCTTTTGAAGAGCCTCACAACAATATGTCTCACCATCACATTGTGCACATTTGATGAAATCCTCATCTGGGGTGTTGCGTCAGCAGAGACAGTAAGGTTAGCGCTTATCTATTTTTGAATCACTGGTGAAAAATAAATTATTTACAAAGGAGGGTAAACGCTGTCATTTTTTCAACCTGTTTACGGCTGTGATTTCGGAGTACAGTGGGGTGAGGAGGAGGAGGAGGAGGAGGAGGAGGAGGAGGAGGGTTTCCTGTGGATCTGATGTGAGGCCTCATCCTCTGGACGGGTTCATCATTAACCAGCTTGCCTTCAAATTTCCCAAGAAGAGTCAGCAGGCATCAGACGGAGGAAAAGCCTGCAGCGTGTGTGTGTTTACAAATGTGTGTTCACGTGTGTGTGTGTGGTGGTTGTGGGTCCAGGTGGCCTGAAGTGTGGACTCCAGATGCAGCATTTCAAACACTTCAGAGAACACGTCGGTCCCTCTGGACCTGTTAGCGGACACAAGTTGCCGCCGCCGCCACCGCCACCTCACACAATCACATATGCAGCCATAGCGAGCAGGTTCTCTGGGGCCTCTCACGGCTCGCTGGGTGGGAGATGCTGAAGCCTCATTTCGGGCTTGTAAAGATTAGCGCACAATCGATTGAGCGAGATTTCTTTGAAGTGGTTTCCTAAAGAAGCTCAAGAATAAATTTAGGGCTTCTTCACACGTCCCCTTTTCTATCCAGGTGAAGTTTATCTGCTCAGGTGTCTGTGCTTGAGTGTGATGCTTCTTATCTTCAGAGTCATCTTCCATCTCTATGTGAAACACTTGTCAATCCTCCTGCCTTCAACCGTGCCAAACATGACACACGCCGGCTTTTTAATGACAGTGTCTGAATGCCAAGTCATGTTCTTGTGCTCCTAAACATGTTCAGATTTAGTGCTGCCGACTGAACAGCCTTAAAACCAGTCACCACACCTCAAAGGTGGATCCTGTCTGCTGCTTTAAAGAGTTCATGTCACTGAATCAGTGTGTAAATGTGGGTCATATCTCACCTTTTATCAGTTAAACACTGATTTAAGTGAAGTGTGTCTTTATCTCTAAAGAAAATCTGTAAAATACTACATATTATGAGGCTTTATCGCAAAGACACACCACAGCAATAAAATGTTCCTTTTATTACTTTGAAGATTAAAAGTCTTGATTTTGATATTGTGAGAGTCTTGAGGCAGAAATTCAACCTTTTTTGGGTTATCATTGACGAGAAACAGAAGGAAACAGCAATCTTGGGTCTGTCAGATAAAGAAACGTCACCTGGCAGCACCTATAAAGCTCAGTTTGTTTAATTCATACAAAACCAAATCCTAATAATGACAGGTTACCATTGTAAGGGGAGGGTTATGTAATAGCCACCTTTGGACAGAAGCAGGCTATAGTGACATCAGTCCTCTCATGCAAAGCTTAAGTATGTCCCAAAATGTTTAAAACATGGTGAATGCAAAGCTAAAAGCCTTCTGAATACGTGTAAAGACCTTAATGCAAAGTCACAAAACACCTTTGAGAAATGGACCTCCCATAACTGAAATTAGACTGTCTGACGCAGAGACAGCGTACATGCCGTCATGCTCTCCGGACATGAGAAGAAATATTCGTGCAACCTGGTAAGTATTCTCTAAACACAACATACTAAAAATACATAAACCTCCCCTCCTGGCTTTGTTTGGAGCGAGGTGTGGTGTTATGTAGCAGCTACCCGATCAGGTCCTACATGCAGGGCAGCATACCTGCAGCTCTGTGTCACTGCCGGTTAACCAGCCTGACGTGCAGATTGTTACCATAATGCATCTCTGGGAACAGCCACAGTTCATAATGTGCAGTCTTTCTCTAAACATCTCTACAAGAAGTTTCCTCATTCTAAAACACATCTGGGCAGCTCTCCAAAAATAACAGCATTGATTTTTTTTTTTTTTTCAAAAGTTGGCTTGTGTTGCTTATTCCCTAACTTAAGCAGGTGCTGTTTTTTTTATTATTTTTTATCTATGACAAGTGAATCGATATCTCATTTGATTGCATAAACATAGACAAAATACGGCAATGATGCCAATATCACAGCTAATAAATGTGAGTAAAATCAATAGCAAAGCCACCTGAGGATTCGTGTGCCTTTTGAGGATCCTCTGTAATGATGGTTGGTGTCTGCTTTTAGGAAGGAGAAGCAGTTTGTGGAGAGACGTTGGAAGGATGTGCGAGTGGGAGATTTTGTGAAGGTGGTTTGCAATGAGATCGTCCCTGCAGATCTTCTCCTTCTCGACACATCAGACCTCAAAGGTGTGTGTCTCATAGAAACAGCCAACCTGGATGGAGAGACCAACCTGAAGCAGAGAACCGTGGTTTCTGGGCTCTCGGTGAGAAAAATCTACTCCTTCTCTATTTAAATTGCTCTTTCCTTTCAGTCTCCATTGCTCCTCCTCCTCTTCTTTGTGAATGAAATTTTATGCACTTTAGCAGAACAACTGTGGCGTGTCCTTACAGAAACTGCAGGTTGTTATGTTAAGTGAGTGATGACACAGACAGAGGAAAAGAAAGAAAAACATACCTGCTGGTTTACATACCTTTAATGCATTTTTTTCCTGACTGCAGAAATCATTAAGTCATTCTCGAAGCACAGGTTCAGCTGTATTTAAAAAGTTTCCACTTTTACCGGAATGACTTTGTCTCCTTTCGTTTCCCAGAATCCAGAATTTGAACCTGAAAGCTTCAACAGTGTTGTGGTGTGCGAGAGGCCTAACAACAATCTGAATCATTTCAAGTGTTACGTGTAAGTATCAAATACACAGATCACATGGGTTCCCCAAACTTTCAGAGCAGCACGGCTAAACTAATTCCAACCCACTGGCTGGACTTTCTGATGCTACCAGAGGCATTATTGGGGCTGTAATAGACTATAATCGATTTCCTCAGGCACCACAGCTCTTACAGATGGTCTGCCCATGCTGTCCAGCTATGGCCATAAAGCAGAAGAGAATTGCTAATGGGGAATATATAAGCGCTAATGAATATCTAACAAGATCTGACAGTACAAAGGAGGTTTCTCACTTTCTCCCGCTGCAGAGAGAAACCTGATAAAGAGAGGGCGGGCGCCGGGATCGAGAGTCTGCTGCTGCGAGGCTGCACAGTGAGAAACACAGACCACGCTGTTGGCTTTGTGGTTTATGCAGGTACAGGCTTCATCTTTTCAGCCGGCTCACTACGTTAACCTCAGACTTTTAGTGCTTCTTCTCGGGGCTTTAGCAAATATTCCTGAAATACTGAGGTCCACAAGTAGTCATTCAGTTTTACATCACATTTAGTCCCTAGTTTTTCATATATATTTTTTCATATCATATGTGTGTGGATTTTTTTTGTTTCTTTGTTTTTGTTTGCTTGTTTTTTTAAAAATCGAGGCACTCCAGGAAATATCAATAAAACTGATGTTGGTCCATTTTAATAATATATGTCACCTTTTTCCCTTTTTTTTTTTTTTTTTTTTTTTAGCTTTCGCAAAATCATGTTTTTTTTTCTTTCTGTGACCAATCAAAGGAATATCAGTCAAACTGGTATGGGTTTATTAATTTCAGAATTTTTTCTTAAATCTGTTTTTACAAATGAACTCCTCATTTATTTATTTACTTATTTGCTTTGAGCTAGATGCTAATGTTGGCATGCAAACGCACTCACAATGTCAATACTAACATGATGATGTTAATCAATCCAATTTTAACAGCACTTCTCCAACAAATCGAATGCAGTGTAATGTGCCTTACAAGTGATTAAATAAACAGAAGCACATAAAACATAAAAATTGATTTAGACATTAATGCACACCACATGAATAAATAAGCCACAATATGAGTAATTAGTATGATGAAAGATAAATAAAAGATAATGCAATCTATAAAACCAGGTCTGGCTAGTATGATTTATCATTTCATTGTTCTCATCCTAGTTTAGCATGTTGAGATTTACAAATTCATACAAAACACTAAGTACAGCTGAAGCAGATGAAAGTGTGATGAATTCTGTCTGTATTTATGCATTAAAGTATCTGATGACATGAAAATATCAGTTGTTATAATTGTAATTCGAAGCCATCAAATAATTTTTGAGATGTTTGCTAGAACAAATGAAACAGTGGCTAAAGATCTCATAATTTTGCACAATAAAAACTATAAACTCCCCTTAATACCACAATAAACAGAATAATGTCCCAGAACTCTTCACGGGACATGACCTCAGTATGTTTTTGTCCCTGTATTTACTGAGCCAGAGTGAGCACATGTTTTAAGATGTGTTATTGATTTCCTTTGGTGTTCACTGACCACATAAAGTGTCTGAATCCACACCTTCTCCTTCAACCTTTAAGGCCACGAAACCAAGTCCATGCTGAACAACAATGAGTCCAGATACAAGCGCAGCAAACTGGAGCGGAAGCTAAACATAGACGTCATCTTCTGCGTCATTCTGCTCTTCGCCATGTGTCTCGTCGGAGCACTAGGTCAGTAATGAATTACATCACACAACCTTACAACTACTACGCAGACTGATTCATGATTAGTACATTTAGATTTACGAGGGAACATTAAATTTCCAATAAAACAAAAGAGACTCACTTTGGCCACCGGCCCAAACTCGTACTGAGAAAAGAGGTAGGAGACAGGCGAAGGTGTGGTGCCAAAAATAGCTTTCCTCCCTGCTCGACAGTCAGTGTGATTAATCCTGCTGTCCTCATACATGCAGGTCACTTCTTATGGCTGCAGGCGCTGCCTGGCGTCCCTCCTTACCTGGTCGCCGACAGCAGCGGTCACCTGGACGGTCCCAGTCTGTCTGGTTTCTACATGTTCTTCACCATGATCATCCTGCTGCAGGTGGAGCCGCCTGACTGTCTGACAGAAAGTGTTTGGGGAGTGTTTTTATTAATGTTGAAGTCATTAAACTAATCTTCTCTCCTCCTGTCTACTTTCCTCTCGGGGTTACCTTTCACCTTTTCCCCTCATTTTCTTTTTCTCCTCATTCTCTGTTTTTATCACCATCTGTACTTAACTCATCTTTACATTTTCCCTGCACTTCTGCTATCTCCTGTTATTAAATCATTGTCATTTCCTTTCTCTTTTCTGTTTAAACACTTTCTTCTCTCGTGTTTATGCCCCTTTCTCTTGATCTCACATCTTCTGTTTTTTCTACCTGTCGCTTTTCTTCTCTCCTTTTTCCCTCCATCGCTGCTCTTCTCACCTCTCTGTTTTCATCTTCATTTCCTTCTTCCTTTCCTTCCTCCCTTCTGTGTTCCTCTCCTCTCCTCCCCAGATCCTGATTCCAATCTCCCTCTACGTGTCCATCGAGTTGGTCAAGATCGGTCAGATCTTCTTCATCACTAATGACATTGACTTGTTCGATGAGGAGACAGATAGCCGCATGCAGTGTAAATCTTTAAACATCACCGAGGACCTAGGACAGATTGAATACATCTTCTCAGACAAGACAGGAACCCTCACTGAGAACAAGATGGTGTTTCGACGATGCTCCGTCATGGGTACCGAGTATCCACACAAAGAGAACGGTAAGCCTCAACAACGACACACAGAAAGCCCTAATATTACTTTACAATATGGTACATACAATTGTGAGTGGTATATGAGATAATGACCCGTTGTTACAGACTGGGAATATAATATTAAAGAATCATTAGGTAATAATTACTCCACATATTGACCACTGTCTTCATGAGTTGTTCTTGATTAACTCTGAATTAGCCACCAAGCAGCACAAAACTAGTAACCACTCATTAATCGCTCATTACTTGATCATTAGTCGCAGTTTTTTGTGAACCCCCCACACCCAACAAACAAAATGACACCTCGCACCGAGTAGTTATTAAGCAGTCTCTCATTACTTTGTGATTACCTGACCATTACGCCCCCTTTTAGTGGCCCCTCAAGTAAAGTGTTACATTAATAGTTCTGAAGTACAGTATATTCACTCAAGAGCTTACTGCCAGCTCTGTGATCAGTGATGCTCCACCAATTACGATGTGAGTCCATTTGCCGGTTTATAACTTCAATGAAAATAAATTACTCATAAAAAGTTGATGTTCATTGTGGCACACTCCCAGAAGTTAGCACAGAATGGATTCTTATTTTAGCCATTTTGGATATAAATTCACCACCCACAGGCCCAACATTACATTTCTCTGATACTTCAGTTCATCACAAGAAAGCTGGAAAATGCACACATGGTTCACGTTGGTGGTTCTGACGTTGCACATGACTGCTGCAACACGCTGGCATGCTAACATTTTGTATGTAACATTAATGTGATCTCAGATTTAGCCCAAAGTAAGGCTGTTTACTTTTGTTTTCGTCTGTGCTCCAGCGCAGCTTTAAATTGGTCAAACTGCATAATGTGTTTTGATTCAGGGCTGTTTGTCACCTGTTCGCCCGCAATGAACTTCCTGGTTGGCTTTGTAGCTTTGTGGCTTATTTCCATGTATGCTGAGTTGTTATTAGAGCTGCTTCATCTGCATTTGTGACTCTTTATTACAGAGTCTTGAGTCTTTTCTATATTAATATCAAATTGAATCAGACTACATGTTAACATTTGACGTCTACTTTAAACAGTAAGATATTTGCGCTCATGTAAAATGAAAAACTACCCATTTAGATTGTCTATATAAAAATATGGGCCCCTCTGTAGGAACTACATGCCACTTTTTTGTTTCTCAATACTTTGTATGTCCACCTTTGTTTTTGAGGATAGAATGTGTCCACGATATTGGGGATACCACGTTTCTGGAGAGATGTTCTGCTGTTCTTTAGAGATTTTTTTTTTTCCGCTGCTCTTTGCTGGAGGGGTTTTGTTGGCCTACCTTTCTCTTTAAAAGATTAGACAAGTGTATGACTGGATTCAAGTCAGATGACATACTTGGCCAGGTCATTGTTTTCACTTTGTTGTTCTTTAGAAACTCTTATGAAACGTTGGCAGCGTGCTTTAGAACGTCACTATGCTGGACTATTCTTCTGCCAAGTTTCTGCCAACTTCCAGTCAGCCAGTATTTTGGTGTCTCAATAGACATTCATGGTGCCATCTGTAAATGTCATCTCACCAACACCTTTAGCACTAATCCAGCCTCATATTATCGCACTACCACCTCCGTGCTCCACTGGTCGGACTATACATTCACTGTGATAGACCTGGCCAAGTTCACACAAAACCTACTCAACCCCACCTGAGCTTAACAAATGCATCTTATCTGACCGAAGAATGTCCTTTCAACATTCATTAGGCTTCTTTTGCTGCTCTTTAGTAAAGTTTTATCAGGCAGTTTTGTGTTGAACAGCAATTCAGGGTGTTTTTCTTGGATGTTGTCCATAGATCACACTGTCTGAGCTGTCACAGAAACTCAGATTTTCATTGATAACCGTTGTGCCAAGTCTGAAGCACCTGCCTGTTAGTTTTTCATGAGTAGATTGTGCAAGTATCACACTCTCCGCTGTCTCATTTTACAAAGATGCGCACTGCAGCTCTGATTTGTGGTACTATAGCTCATTCTATGCCTCTTGATTACAGTTTTAGCTGCTTTCCAATCTTCCTGTATCATTTTCCATCTTTATGAAGTTTTAAATTCGGACTTTTTCAGCTCCACTGGCCACTGTTTTCCACATGGAGCCAGGATGCAGACGTGCAGATAGACACTGCTGATAGGTCCAAAACTCTGCGACGTTGTTGTTTTTGGTGGCTCATGAGAAGAAATACTCAACTTGTCAAAAAATAATTATTGAGAGTTGATTCAATTCTGAATCATATGACATATAAGTGACGGTGCAAAGGGATGTACTCACTCCTGTTGTATACTGTATTATAGCTCATTGAAGAACAGACCTTCCTTCCCCCAGACAGAGGCTGTCTAACCTGTGTCCTTCAACACTGCAGTTGTGGCTCATGGCTCAGCATTTGAAAAGACAAAAGCCACTCTGAAAACAAATAAACTAAAACCAGCTTGATTGATATTACCTGAAGTGCATGATTAGAAAAACATGATTTAGCAAAATAAATCAAGAGAAGAGATAACCATTTTTCTCTTCAAATGAACCCTTCACTTGATCTGAGTGCACACAGTACATGTTTTATGTGTCAACATGGTTTTTGGGACTTGCAGCCATCCGCCTCGCTGTCCTTGATGAACCAGAGTCAGAGGAGGAGGTCATCTTCAACCAGCGTCCACAATCCCTGCAGACTGGTTGGTCCCTGGATGCTGAGGACACAGCCCCCCGAGACACCACACAACGCCGTGGCAGCCGACGCAGGAGCAAGGTCGCAGGAATTGCTCAAAGCGATGTGGCCTTCAGCAGTCCACTGGTACGATGATTGCTTAGTCGGGAAGAAAAGGAAGATAGATTTTTAATTATTATTTTTGCCTGTCTTGATAATATAAACACGGGTGCATAAATAAATGGATCAAACATATAGTAAACTGGAATGATGCTGCAGTAAAGCTTTTGAACTGTAGTCAAACCGTCTGTGTGTCTGTGCTCTAAACTACGGCTTGTTCAGGGTTAGAGGCGGCTTGAACTTATCCCAGCATGCAATGGGGTAAAGAACACAGAGCAATTAGTACATCATAGAGCTGACAACATTAGATAAAATCCATCTACAGACTGCACCGTATGAATGTTAATCAGTTATTGTAACACTGCACTTTTTAAAGATTTCATTTTAAAAATCTTTTAACTTCTGATTAGTTGTAAATAAGGATGTCCTTCCACAGACGTGTTTCACATCCAAATCCACACTTGGAAGACTTCAAACTGCCATTTGTTTACCCAAATCTGACCCATCCTTGTGTCAAAAGGCCTCATGGTCCCAGTCCCTGCTGCAGATGGCCGAGCTGCTAGGTGTCAGTGATGAGCACATCCATTTTGGCTCAAAGTTGCCCCTGTGTCTGTGACGGGACATATGGTCATGCTGAGCACCATTTGGCACAGACCACTGATGTCACATAAACTGTAAACGTGCACTATAGATTAGTCACCGTCGTCTTGATATACAGTACAGTATCTCCATGCCTATTTTTGTCCCCGGGGTAGAGAGCAGAGGCCAGGAGATGCAGGCTGAGACAGAAAAAAAATCTTGTGTTTATTCCAGAAAGGCAGCACAGAGCCCATCTTTAGCGCTCCTCACGCTGCGCCTCTAACAGAGCAGAATGTTAGTATGAATGAAACCTTCCTCCCTTCCTCCTGTCCTTCTGTCCTTACTGTAATCCCTCCTTGCACAGAGGCAAACAAAACTGGACGAAAAGTTTAAAATCTATAAAACTTTCTCCAAATCCCCCACAAGTCAAATGCGAGCAGGAAACAATTTATCAACACAAGCGTTTTAATTAACAAACTGATTAACTTTTACTCCAACAGGAAACTGAGGTGATTCCAGACAAGAAGCTGCTTCAGCAGATTAGCAGGGCAGAGAGCAGCAGCGGCAGCAGGAAGACAGATCCCTACCTGGACTTTTTTCTGGCTCTCGCCATTTGCAACACAGTGGTGGTTTCCATGGCAACAGCTCAGAGACGGAGGGTGAGCGTTTCGCTGTGGATGGGAAGTGGAGATGGAGGGCACAGTCGGGAGAGAAAAGATGGACGAAAGATTTGTCCTATTAAAATTTCCAGTAACCTGCAACTTGGAACGTGTAAATCAATAGCAAGAAAACATTGTGGAGAATCTGTTAACTGTCTTCATCATTATTTTATGATTTCTACGCCTCTGCAAGCTTTCTGAACAGATATTTAGCTGCAAGAGGAATCCACATGATTTAATCAGCAACAGGGACAACAAAAAAGTTACAATTCTTCCCATGAGCTTCTCGAGAGTGTTACAGTTATTCTAAATTGTTTGCTTGAAGCTTCTTCTTTGTCATCAGTTGTCATTACTAGTTTTCCTTCACCCTTAAAGCCCCTGTTTAAAAAAAAAAATCCAGATCTTTTGCTACAGAGTAAAGAGGGACTTGCAGGAGTAGTCAGGGTAGGGTTTTTTTTCTTAATTTGAGCATTTGCTGCTCCAGACTGTGCCATTCTGAGCTCTACCAGATGGGACAAATCTGTGTTTTTTTCCCATTTGAGTTTGTAATTTAAGGTAAATGCACAAAAAAGAAACAGAGTGGAAATAAATGACAAACTTGTTTTTGGGAGGTCTCATGTATCACCATATGTGTAATGTGGTAAAATGGCTTCATATAACAAAATCCTGCTTTTTTTCTTTCTTTCCTTCTTTTTTAAAAAAAAACTTTATCAGGTGAGTGTGTCTCCACGCTCCTACCACACCACTAATCTGCTGGAAAGGTTGTCCAGTCTGGTGAAAAACGTCGGCTCTTCATGCCTTTCCTCCTGCAAGCGCAAGCCCAAGAGGAACCGCACCTTCTCAGAGAATTCAGTTGTAGAGGAGGACCATTTTCGTCCCTCTGTAAAAATGGAGACTACTAAAGACACCTATGGGCTCCAGACATGCTCTCTCCATGCTGCATCCCAGAGCAACAAGCCTGCAGCAACCTCAGGTGATCTGAGGTACGAGGCAGAGAGTCCAGATGAGGCTGCTTTGGTGTACGCCGCCAAGGCATATGGCTTCATTCTGCTGGCCCGCACCCCTGACAGCGTGACGGTGAGGCTGCCGTCTGGGGAGGACCTGGTGTTCGAGGTGCTGGACACCTTGACCTTTGACTCCAACAGGAAGAGAATGTCTGTTCTGGTGCGACACCCAATCACCAAAGAGTATGTGCTGTTCACTAAAGGTGCAGACTACGCCATCATGGAGCTGCTTGGTACACCTTATGCAGGTATGTGCAGGTGAAAGTACATTTGTTGGTCATTTCATACTCAAAATGTAACTTTATAAACATATATATATGTATTGTATTAACTTTAGAGCACTTCAGTGGCAGTAAGAAGAACATAGCAGCTGATACTCAGCATCACCTCGACTGCTATGCCAAGGAAGGGCTCCGAACACTGTGTGTTACAAAGAAGGTACGAAATCTGATGTGTTATTATTTGTCAGCATTTCATTTCCTTATTTGACAAGAACTCATCTTTTTTTCTGCATGTGCTGCAGGTTGTGAGTGCCAAAGTGTATGAAAGCTGGTTAGTGGATAGACAGAGAGCGCTGGCTGCTATAGATAACAGAGAGGAGCTCATCATGGACACTGCTGTGCAAATGGAGACAAACCTCACTCTGCTAGGTAACGCAAATCATTCACAACACTTGCTGTACATCTGTGTGATAAGATCTGTGTTTGAATGAGGCCTGTTTGTGGTTGTGCGAACTCCTGCAGGGGCAACAGGCATCGAGGACCGTCTGCAGGAGAACGTCCCCGACACCATCATGGCGCTGAGGGAGGCTGGCATTCAGGTGTGGGTGCTGACTGGTGATAAACCAGAAACAGCTGTCAACATTGGCTATGCCTGCAGGCTACTGGAAGAGGAAGACCTAGTGATTAACATGAGCTGCAATAACAAGGTGAGTAGGGCACTGTGTGCCCAGCTGAAGGTTGGCCATTTGATTTAGAGCGGCTTTAGTTGTTGCCTATGTGAACAAAATGATAGAGCTAGTTTAGGAAATCAAACACTGAAAGAAAATGGCCAAATACTTCATTGCAGAGAGTTAGATGGGAAATTTGACTCCACTCTTTGGTCTCTATTGTAAATGTGTAGTTAGAACTAGCAGCTAATTAGCTTAGCTCAGGATGAAGACAGAGTCAGGCTCACTGTTTCTACTCTGCTGCTGGTAGTATCATCAAATTTACTGCACAGATGTGAGAGTATCGTCAATCATGGCATCTAAGTCTTAGAAAGAAAGAAAATGACTATATTTCACTCCTTTTTGAAAAGTTAAACTTAGATCTCTTGATGATTTTGATTACAACAACAAAACCTCCAAATGTACTTGTGCTAATGTAAACCCGCTGTAGTTCTAACAAAGCCAGTTCTGATTTGGCAGAATTTGTCAAAATAAAGGAAAACATCATCTGCATAAAGCGATGTGACGTTTGAATAAAGACTGGTTCACAGTCCTGTGATTGCCAAGTCGCTTGTGCTATAAGTCTCCAGAGATAGTGTAAATATTAAGAAGGATGGAGGGCGACCATGTAAAGAAGAATTTTCATCATACCAGATTTAATGATGGGACTTTTACTGGCAAATTACTTCCCAACTCAAATTACAAGTTCATACTTTTTCTTGCTTTTTTGAAATAATGCATAATTTTAAAAAGTGATTTATCGGGGCCCAAATATAAACCTTAATGTTTGAGCGACACAGCAATCAGTGAACACAGTTTTTAGATTCATTAATCAAAAACTGAAAATAGTAAAGACCCAGAACTCTCTCTTAAACACTGGCCTTTTTAAACAGATTAAGATTTATAATATAATTTCTATTTCACATATCACATACAGCTTGTTTCAGAGGGCAGCGCTGACCTTTTTAACGGTCATCCACGACAAGTTGTGTGTTTTCCGAGCAGCGGCTTCAGGAGGTCTCACCTGTGAGCTTGTCTCCGTCCAATTTAAATGAACGAACCTTTTTGACCACTTTTACATTCTAACTAAAGGTCAAACCCTCACATTTCCATCTGAGAAAGATAAGGTGTCTTGGTGGGTCCTGCTTCTCTGAGGTCATTAAAGATCTGGTAGCACAGGAATGAACCCTTCATAGCAACCTGACCACGTCTAATCATCCTCGGCCTCAAATAGACCAAAATTACCTGTCGGCTCTAACGGATACACAAGGAACTTTCTGAAACAAAGGGGCTGCAGTTCTCCCCTCGGATGGAGTAGTCACTGATGATGAATGGAGTTAGATACTCCCAACACAATAACTAATGCTTTCATATCTAATTACAGTCTAATATTCAACCCTCAGAGGAAATACCCTTCCTCTCATAATTCAGAGTGGAGGCATATTAGTAATGAACTATTTTTTACCACCGTAACTCGATGACCACCTGAGAGATGCACTCCCACAACCATCATCCTACAAAGCCTAATGAAATTTAGACGGTATTTGATAGATGGAGTAAAAATAGGGTGCAGCCTTTTTTTTTCTTTTTTTTTCTTTTTTACCAAGTCAGTTTCCTTTTGGCTAAGAGACTGGAGTTATTTACGCATAACAATGATGAGTCTGATGGGAGCACAGCCTTATAACTGCTTACACACAGATATCATGAATGTGACTCAACAGCACAATAATGTTGTTTGTTTTACCAGCACATACTGTAATCTGTACCCTGCCGCAGGGATATTTCTGTTTATTTACTGGAAATTTTAAAAACAATTGATTGTTCAGTTAATTGTTTGGTTTAAAAATGGCCAAAAAAATGTGAGAAAATATTCATCAACTGTCAAAATTACATCTTCATATTGTGCATTTTGTCTGAAAAACTGACCAAAACTTAAAGACACTCAGTTTACTATCACACCATATAAAGAAAAGCAGGAATTCTTTATTCCTGAGAGGCCAGAATGAACAAATGTTTGGCATTATTGCTTGAAAAGTGACTTAAACAATCAATTAAAGCTTTATAAAAATGCTAATAATAGTAATGTTATGAGATAAATATGCAGCTAACCCTTTTCAGCTCACGTGTACATCCATCCTGGACTGCACCCTGGAAGAGGTGAGGAGGTACAGCGCGGACCCTCGTAACGTGGACACCACTCCAGACATTTCTCTGGTGATTGATGGACGCACCCTGGCCATGGCTCTGTCGCCAGACCTGCAGGAGCGCTTTGTGGATCTGGCCAAGCGCTGCCGCTCTGTGCTCTGCTGCAGAGTCACACCTTTGCAGAAGAGCAGAGTGGTGAAAGTGGTCAGGGAGAGGCTCAAGGTCATGACGCTCGCCATTGGTAAGAGAGAAATGTAGATTTTGTATTAGGACACGTATTTTTAAAAAAAGAAAATTAAAAAAAATAAAAGTTTATTTGCACATTTTCTTGACTCATTTACATAATCCAGAATTTTGTTACGTGCAATTTTAAATTTAACTCAGAACACTATCAAAATGAAAATGACTGTATGGAAACAATAAGTTTTATGAAAGTGTGAGGTGACAGAAATCAGAATAAGAATAAACATGTTGGACAAAGTTTAGAATATAGAGGGCATTTTGTGTTTCCCCACGACAACTTTAGGTCCACTTTCCTCAAAACATCAATAAATTAATCACCATTGTGTACAGTTGGGTTTTGAAAGTGAGTGTAATTCTCAGAAACAATCAAGGGAAAGATCAATAATCCTAATATCCCTTTAGAACTATTGTACTTAATGTGTACGTAAACTATAAGTTGTGTTGTCTTACATCCAGATGACACAGTCCTGTTCTTGGAAAAATTAAATAAAGTAATATTAAAAGTAACTGATATTTATATAATAACAAGATATCAAATGGGACAAATTCTTATCTTGTGATGAACGTACTGCAGCTTGATACACTCTAATCACTATCACAGTGTTATTTTTTGGCCTTCTGTTTTCTTTCAAAAAAAAAAAAAGCTTTAAAAACCCAGAAGAAAGACAGAGTAATCAACTAGCTTGGAACGCAGTGCAGCACTTATCAGCAAAAGAGCCAGATTTTTATATCACAGGAAGGTGGAGACCCAAAATGGAGCTAAAAGAGGGTGAATATAGGTCATAAATGTCATAGAGAGAATATTTCTCAGTGCCATGTATTAAACTCTCAAATATATACATGCTGACATAGCGTTAAAAATTCTTTGGGTCTTTCTCGAGGCTGTGTGTCTGTGATTAAGCGAATATTCACTCTGGTTTTAGGTGATGGTGCAAATGACGTCAACATGATCCAAGCAGCTGATATTGGCATCGGGATATCCGGTCAGGAGGGGATGCAGGTTGAAACTCATCTGTTTTAGCTTCAAAGATGTGTTTTCTTCTACTGTTATCACAACCCCAAACATATTCTGACTCGTCTTTGTCATTGGCAGGCGGTCATGGCCAGCGATTTTGCCATATCTCGCTTCAGACACCTGAAAAAGCTTCTCCTGGTCCACGGACACTGGTGCTACACTCGACTGGCCAACATGATCATTTATTTCTTCTACAAGAACGTGGTGAGTGTTTTAGCTGCATTAGAGGGCTCTGTTTTCTAAATTAACCTGCTGCACTGATTCATCATCTAATCATCTGTGGTTTAATGTGTTTCTCAGGCTTATGTGAACCTGCTGTTCTGGTATCAGTTCTTCTGCGGATTCTCCGGCACGGCCATGATCGACTACTGGCTGATGATTTTCTTCAACCTTTTCTTCACCTCTGCGCCTCCCATCATGTTTGGGATCATGGACAAAGATGTTTCTGCAGAGGTGCTGCTGGGAGTTCCTGAGCTGTACAGGACTGGACAGGGTGCAGGGGTCAGTGACGCTCAGAAACAACAGTCTTTATTCTGGGAAGGAAAATCTGATGGGTAGCTGCAGGTTTATAGAGCTGGGTGCTGAGTAAAATGTGAAGAGTATTTGTTTTGTATTTAAAGTTGTGTGCATGTGTGTTTACAGGAATACAAATGTTCAACTTTCTGGGTTTCCATCCTGGATGCCTTCTATCAGAGCCTGGTTTGCTTCTTTATTCCATATTTGGTAAGAGACACATTTAACTCGTCCTTCTATCATCACTGTGTACTGGTCAGCTACGAGTTAACTGCTTTCTGCTTTAAATCTGACAGCATACTTCATTTTCCCTCAGGCTTACCAGGATTCAGACATTGATCTTTTTACATTTGGAACTCCATTGAACACAATTTCTTTATTTACCATCCTGCTGCATCTGTCAATAGAGATCAAAGCCTGGGTGAGTGCTGAACTGATGGATATCTATTTCTAGATGCAATCATGTTATACCGCCGATGAGTCAAAACTCTAATCACTGAGTACTATGCATGATAATTGCGCGTAATAATAGACTTCACAATTGTTTGTAGGACAAGTATAATTGGTTTTGCATTAAGCTATTCTTCTGCAGCACAAAACCAAAGAATTAGCAGGAATCTTTTCTACTAACAGGATCATTACCAGCTTATCTAAATGCTGTTTTCTGTGATTTTCTTGAAGACGGTGGTCCACTGGGTGATCATGCTGGGCAGTGTGGCGCTGTACTTCATCGTGACGCTCGCATACAGCGCCATCTGCGTCACCTGTAACCCTCCATCCAACCCGTACTGGATCCTCCAGAGCCAGATGGCCGACCCCATGTTCTACCTTATCTGCCTCATCTCCACTGTGGTGGCTCTGCTGCCCAGGTACCATCAGCGCTCTGCCCCCTGTGTCTGTCAAGCTTTAAAGCCGGTGGGGGGGCTGTAATGTAATGTGCTGCAACAGAGTCTTATTTTTGGGTACTTTCTAATATGGTAATTCTTTTTACAACAGACGTGCACGGCTCCCCATATCACATATCTCTGAAGATCTTAGAAGCAGCATAATGTGGCCTTCCTAACTTATTTCATTTTCTTGCTATTTTTATCTCCAGTTATATGAACTGTATAAATATATACTGCTGCAAGTAAAAAAAAAACAGTGCAGGAATGTCAACTAATTTTACTCTGATGTCTGTTAAAAGTGAAAATAAAACAATAGATGCTGGAGGAAAGTTTTTATTAGACAGTGTAGTGAGCTGCATTGGGAAAAGCAAGACTCGAGACGAGCAGCTTACACAGCCATGCTGTAAATTCACAGTCAGTCAGGATATTAAATTTTAAATGTGCTCCAAACCTGTTTTTCTTCATAAGACAACCTACGAGAGAGAAGAAACTGCCTGCAACTGAAGACTGCTTTTCTTGTTCAGTTAGCTGTTTTACATTTAAAAAATCAGACAATAAATAAAAAGGCTAAAATTAAATTTACACTAAAACAAAATGAAGAAAACAAGCAGTGTTTGTGATGTTACTTGGAAAATGACCCAAACAGATAACTATCACAATAGGTTGAGATAACGATTGAGAAGTTAGAATAGTCTTTAGAAGTAAACCTTGAGCAATCACAAATGGCAGAGTTCTTCCTGTTGATTGCTCATTCATACTCTATGTCTAGTTGAGCTTTATAGAGCAGTAGTTCCCAACAAAAAATCTGAGGGATCCCAAGACTGATAAAGGAGGGAGATGATGCTACTTTTCTCAGATGTGACCCTTTTTCTTGGCCTGTAAAAATCCTTAAAAAGAATCTGAGAAGGCAAATCATCTCTGCACTGAGGCAGCTACTAACCTGTAATAAGGGGCCACAAGTCATCATACCATCATTCTAGTCTACTCTTCACATGTTTGAACCTTTCCAGCCTTAATATTAGATTATTTATATATTACTTTAACCCTGATGGCATTGTGAGGTTGTTGTGGTACATGTTTGATTTGTAATGAACTAGTGTTAATTGTGAAGGTCAGGAGTGACTGCACCACAGTTCGGTCTTCCTCTCTGTTGCTGATGCGTCTGAAAGTGCTGATATTTAGAGGGAATGCTCTGATTTACATCAAAGGGCCGCATATTTTTCTCTGGCCTACTTTCTCACCACCACACACTCTCCCCCAGGTACACGTTTCACGTGATGAGGAACTCTATCGCCCCCTCCCCGCTCGTGCAAGCGAGGCATCTGGACCAGCTGGACCCCTCCGAGAGAGAACAATGGATCAAGGAGTGGAGGAGCTTCAGGGGCGGAGGGCAAGTCAAACGCTCCAGGCTGTCAACCCCGCCCTCTCCCAGCCTGGAGACCCATGCGGACATTTTTCCAGAGTCTCCCACTGCCTCTGATATCATCGGGGATGATTTCACACTGAACGTCATCAGTGAAAACTATCAGGGGCCTGTACATACATAAGAAACGGAGGCAACATGATGGGGAAAAAAAAGAGTACTGTGATGATTATTTATTTGGAAAATTGTAAATATGTGAACTGACTCATGAGAGGATGTATCCCATGATAGAGTAATGCTTCATTTTGGAAAAGCAATCAGGGAGAAACACTCTTCCTCTATGACTGGAGTCTATTTTACAATAAACTACTCACAGGCCCTCTTCTTCTTCCTCTCCTCATAACAAAGTAACACATAAGCCTGTTACTTTCCTGATGGGTTTTCAGCACACAGTGGTAACCCAATTAGTCATGCCACCCACCCATCCAAAAAGTGGCACTTTTCCAGGACAAAATGCTTAGCTGGTTTAATATATTCCTCTCACCTAGATACCCTAACAGGCACACAGGCAAAAACACGTGTGGCTTACAGATTTTCTATTCAGTTTGCCTGCATTATTTGTTTTTTTTCTCTTTGCTGGCCTGTGGGTAGTTTTGTGCACATTGTGTTTATCTGTTTTTAAAAAAAATGCCACGGAAATACATTTTATTTTCCACGAGCGTGTGTTTGTGTGTGCGTCAAGCTTTGAGACAGAGCGTCGACATCAAACAAGCAAAAAGGTAAATTTAGAAGAATCATAAGAAAAGACTTCTAAGCTACAAAGTCTGGTGCTTTTTTTTTTATGGAAATGGAGTGTGCACAAGCGAATCCACTGGTAAAAAGGGCTGAGTTATCATTGGCATACTTCATTATACAGTAACAGCTCTGCTTATATAACCCCCCACTGCCTCCAGTTAGACCACTGCTGCCCTCTAGAGCTGAAGATGAGGCGCTGCAGAAAGGTCAAATGGGACAAAGTCAGGAAAACAAACCGACAGCTTTCAGGCTTCACTGTATGAAAGCCAAAAGAACACGCAACATTAAACTCATGTAAACACCTTTTTATTTCTTCTTTTTTTAAAATTAAGAATTAAATACAGCATGAGCAGAAGAAATAGCGGATGCACTTAAGCACATTTTTTACACTCCTGAGCTAGCTTATACCTGCTGCACAAAAATAAAAAAACATGTAAACATATGTGGTAAATAATTGACAAAAAGACAGCAAACACGACACAAGTCTTTACAAGATTCATCATATGGTACAGTGTGGCACTGGATACTGTGGGCCTGTCATGTTAAATGTGCAATTTTTTTGCACAAAATAAACTTGTATTACAAAGTAAAAAGATATCACTGTAAAAATGAAATCAGATAACAATATAAAAAATGTACACCTGAAATCCTTAAAAAAAAAAGGTTTTTACTATTACGAACTATAGGTGATGTTTATTGTATCAAAAGATTGATTTTTGTTATTTAGATTTGCTTTGTCTTAATCTTGAGGTTAACATAGACAACATTACAAGGAGATATCTCCAATACAGCAGCAACAGATTCTTGTCAAATGTCACTATATGACAACAAGAACAGAAAAAAATCAGCAGTTAAAAAGGAAAATTAGAGCAACGTGGCAAATAAAACCATTCTCTGTAGAAGAACAAAGTCCCACTGTCTAAAGCTAACTTCAACATGCTCTAACGCCACTCAAGCATTTAAAATGAATAACTGATGTTCAAGCATTTAAAACTCAGTTAAAATGTCGCACTTTGGGATGAAACATTAATAGACGTGGATAGCCAGTGTGTTTTCCTACGAGAAGTGACTCAACTGGAACTCTATGTTCTGTGCTGCTATCATTTAGTTCTCTTAGCTCAACCCCGAGAGAGGTGAATGCTGGGAAAAAATCATCAACTCAAGCAGGAGTGGTTATTTTTGAGACTATTCTGAGGAATATAGAAATAAGAGAGACAGCAAGATTTGATGAAGTAACCATAAGCAACCAGCAGATGGCAGATCCTCATCCTTAGTGGGTTGAGGAGGGCTGCAGACCATCATTTACAGACTGTAAGAACCCACAACGTCCTAAAATTCACATTACAACTTTAGTGCATAGAAAGAAATTGACAGACAGAAATAAACCAATCTGCCAAAGTCGTCTTACATCAAAATGACTGTAGGTAAAAATACAAGAGATTGTAAAAGTGTTTAAGTCTGACCTGTTCCCATCAGAGTTCATTAAACTCACATGCTTCGTACCAGCCCTCCACTCTGGCTTCCCGTCAGCCTACCAGGTGGGCATCATATCAGGGAACCACATGCGACCCAGGTGCTTGGACACCTCACTGTGGATCTGCTCCATGTTGTAGCTGCTGTCTGGGATCAGCACCTCCTCCATGATCGACAGCTGAGTCAGCCTGCCCCCGCACATCTTCACAAACTCCACGAAGCCGCTGCAGGTCACTTCGCACTCGCCCAGCCCGATGGCTGTCAGGCTTTTGCAGCGCTCTGCGATGCGGATCAGCTCCTCGTCCAGGGGCTCCAGGCCGTTGGCGCACACGACCAGCTCCACCAGCCGAGGGCAGTTCAGCCCAATGCGGCCCAGCATCTCTTTGCTGACTGCCCGGCCAAAGTACAGGTGGGTGACCGGCGTCTCCTCACAGAAGAAGGGCTCGAACTCCTCCTCATAGAGGAAGAAGTACATGACGATGTTGACCTTGGGCGAGTGTCGTACTAACGCCTCCCAGCTGCTCCTCTTGATGGTGTGAAAGTGTGTCTGTCCGGGGTTCTCACTCACCACATCGATGCGCAGGTGCTCCAAGTGGACGTGCTTTTCAGACGACAGGGCGAGGAGCAGCTCGTCGCTCAGGAGATGGTAGTTCAACGCCAGCTCCCTGAGGCCGTGGCACTGGTCTGCCACGCACAAGATACCTGAGGAAGGAGACAGTCGAACATCTGAACTTCTGGTTATAGAAAAAGCAAAGAATCATCTTTGAGCACACAATAACAAAGGAAATTGACAATGCAGATGTCAACTAGTGATGTTTTCTGAGCCTTATGTAGCTGCATGTCACAATAAAACAGAAACAACCCATATAAAATACATTTCATTAAGAAATACTTGATCACTAAAATGCAAAGAAAGTTATTTTAGTTGAACTTTTATAACTTATTGAGCTGGTATGACAAACTGTACCACAAAAAATATATATAAATATTCTCAGGTAGAAAGTTTTTTTTTTTTTTTTTTTTTTAATCTTGAAAAGTATTTTATATAGAGATCTAAAATTTCACAGATACCATTTAAAATGTCCATAGTTTATGATCAAAAAGTTTCAAGCAAATCACATGGTCGAGCAGAAGGCCCCTCACGATGAGAGATAAATCAACCTGTTTATCTTACAATGTTATAGGCTGTAAGTCCTGACGTGTAACAAACTAAATACATTAGATTATTAGAAAATGGTTATAAAAATCAGTTTGAGTTGGACTCTGATTTGCAATGACCCTTTCCTCTCCTTTCATTTCCCATAAGATCTCTAGTGTGCTGGGCTAATAAAAGCAAAAACAGGAAAAATTCATAAAAAAGAGTGCTGACCTGCTGGGGAGACATGAGGACAGCTGCTCATCTTCAGCAACTTAAGGGTGTCGCTGTTGTTGGCAACCAGCACCTTCAGGGACGGATCGTCTACAGGGGTGTCATCAATCTTGATAGAGGACAGAGACTTGGAGTTGACAAACACCACTGTCAGCGCAGACACAAAGTGGGCCTGAGGAAGAACAAACAAAGGTGGTTAGAAAAGGACTTCTTATGATTGTTGTTTTGTGCAGAATTTTAGCATAAAGTGCAAAACTCAGGATGAGGGAGGTAAATACAGTTTGCAGTCTGACAGGGACACATGAAGCACAGACTGACTCTTACCTGGGATACATCCATGAAGCTGGGCCGTGCTGTGGAAATCAGCCCCAGGGTCTTAATGGTACAGTTCACCAGCTGGGACAGAATGTCACAGGCCGCCTCTGCAGATTCTGTGCAGCTGTCCACCTGATTTACCAGCAGTGATTCACCATTTTAGAAAAAAAAAAAAAGAAACAACACACATTTAAAAATGAGGGGTGGAAAGATGGAGGTGTTAGAATCCTCTCAGCCTAGTAGGCCGACTAATGCCAGGACAGCTGATGTGTCATGATCGATTGTGCAGCAGATGGGTTGGATTAAGGAGAGCACATATTGTTTTCGAGACAGCTGTGTTGTGAAAATAGAGGAGGAGGCACGAGGAGGTGAAAGAGGGGAGGAGGTGAGCGACAGCAGGGGAGGCTCTTACTTTGAAGCTGACGTACTGCAGGTGTTGGGCGTGCTTCTTGATGATCTGCTGAATGAGGTCAGGGTGAGTGGAGCGTAGGTAAGACGTGGCCGGCTGATTGAGCTCAAACTCGAACCTCCTCCACAGGTCAGGGGTGTGAAAGACATCATTCCAGCACCGGCAGACAGACGAGGCCCTGGCCCGGTCCACCAGGGACAGATGCTGGAAGATCTGCAGGACGACGTGGTGGGGCAGGTTACCCCAGTCCTGCAATGGAGTCAGAGCGAAACCGGACGCCGCCCGCTTCTGTCTCTTAACCCTCTCCTCGTGGGAGGGGAAGGCCTGGCACATGGCTTTGAGACCTGTCCTTCCTCGTTTCATTCTGAAGCAAATCAGCCCCCTGTGGCACCATGAGAAGTAGGAATAGTTAAAACAATACTGCAACATTATTTGTACAGTAACACATTTGCAGTGTCTATATCCTTTAGGTTGATATCACACTGCAGTCAAACTTATCACTGTGGGTTTTAGGATAAACGTCTCTGGACGTCTGTTTTTACCCCCATTTGACCATCATACATGAAATTGCATAAACTTAATGTAGTTTAATAAAAATGTTGAATCTTTTATTATTTTGATGTTTTTTAAAACACTGGTTTGTACTGACTCTTAGAATAGTGGGAATTGTTTAGACCCGTCTTATAATAAACCACTTGCTCCAGATTGGAATGAGCAAATCTTGAATTTGCACATCCCACTTTTAAAAAATGCACAAAAGACCGTTATGTCATAAAGGCTTTCATTACTCTGAGTCGTTTGCAGCTTGCTTCAAAATATTAACTGTTTTACTAAATGCAATCTCTATGTTGATTATTACACAAGATCCACTCTCTGTATTCTCAAACTGTTGAACAGGATTCACAAACGTTTCCATAAACACTCTGCAGGCTAACATCAGACACCATCAAACCGAGAAGTTTTTCAGAAAAAGCTAAATGATCTGTATAATGTAGCAAAGTGCATGAATAACGATGGTAAATGCTTGGATTTTTTTTTTTTTAAAAAAAGCTAAAACACTTGAGGCTGATGCTGAAATATATCCTTTTTCTTAAAATGTGTCAGGAAAAGCAAATTTCCTCCCAGTCAGTGCATGCACCGATTTAAAAACTCCTTTCCACTCAACAGCAGGTCCACTCTTATTTTTTCCACAGCATTGCAGAGTAAATCTGAGCTGATATTCTTTTTTATTAAACAATGACCACTGGCTTCTGTTCACCCATTGTGTTTTAAGTAAAAGTAAGCAAACCCCAGCGTAGAAATACCAAGTAAAAGTCATGCAGTTTAATTTATTCTTAAGTAAAGGCGCAACAATTTCAAAATAAGTACAAATAAAAGTGCTCATTATACAGAATGGCATCTTTAAGAATTATGTATGGTAGCTTGTGAATTTCTCCTCGATGATTGATAAAGTTTTATCTTAACCTATATGATTACATTAGTGTTATAATATGTGTTATTAAACTAAATCTGCAAAGTAAATCAAATTATCAGTGGTGTAAAAAGCACAATATTTGCCTCTGAACTGTATGTAGACGAGTAACACAGCAGAAAGTGGAAAATCATCAAGTAAAAAAACATTGTACTTAAGTCCAGTACTTAAGTAAAGGTACTTTTTAAAACTACTTCTCACGAACCAAACCTGTTGTGAGACTTCCAACAGTAAAAACTGAGCCTGTGAAGGCAGCTCACAGTGACATGTGAGTCCAGCCTATAAATAACAATTTATAACTCATCTTCTTCTCTGCTTCCTCTGAGAGATCTTTTAAAAAGCATATTAAATATAAACTTGATATGAAATGTTTACATTACAATCATTCACATGTATTACTGTATTACTAGTATAAGTGTTGTTGTTGTTTTTGTGTATAATAGATGCTACAGGTTGAGCTACACCACCTGTGGCTGCAGGTAAACACATTTACAGAAACTTAAAGGCTTAAAAAAAAGAAGTAGAAGAAGAAAAAACCCAGGTGACCACATAACAGCACCGTTCCTACCACTGGACATTGCTTTCCGCCCTCATTTCTCAGCCGATCTTCACCGACACTGGAGCTGCGAATGAAACACATGTCATGGAACACAAAACAAAACTCCACGTTACCTACACGAGCTTCACTTTCCTCCGGATCGTGCGCTGCTGTGCAGATGGAGAAGACAGCGTTCACTCGGAGCCATGGCTGGCGATGACTGGAGAAGTGCTGGCTGCTGCTGATATAGGACAGCAGGAGCAGCTCCCCCGTAATAAGCTCTGTGCGCTTTAGCGACAGCTTGACGAACGCAGCCGAGCAGCCGGTACACGTGAGCGGAGGAAAACATGGATCTGCTCGGCTGCTCCTCACCAACCATCGTGCATGCAGGGAAAAAAAAACACACACACGAGTAGATCAGAGGGGGGGAGCCACGCATGTTTGCACGATTGCTTATTAATGGCAATTTACTTTCACTTTGACTCGTTTATTTACACTGGTGACTGTGTGGTCACTCTGCATGTGTGTGTTTGTTTGTTGTCCCGATCCAAGAGCACAGAGCACAAGATACTATGAGCTGAGGAAAGTAGGTCAGTGTGTCAAAGTGAGTGTGTGTGTTTGTGTGATCTTGTGAAAACGGTCATTTAAAAATCACACATGGCTACACACTGCGTAAACATGACATCTTTTTATTCTCCCTGGAATATAACCACATGCAGATTAAATGTATAACGTGATTCATTAAAGACTATTATAACATGTAGAGATACTTGTATTTTTTATCAGTGATTTTATTATAAGGCTACAGATTGCTCTGACAAGCACAAATTCAATTTATTATTCTGAATGCAGTAAGATTGCACTTTTGAATAATTTGTAGTAATGAAAAAGAAGCTCATTGCTAGACGTTTTATTGAACAGAGTAATATTTGGCATCCAGTTGTGGATCAGTTTTAAAGCATGTGGTAATATCAGATCTTATTGTTGCAATGTTGTACAATCATTTGAAAATATTTGGTAAAAGAGACTGCACTGCTGAAACCATCAACAGTGTTCATTTATATGTGACTGAGCTGGGAGCATTGCTCACTGTGGGGTGGCACAGTGTCTTTTTCTTCATGTTCAGCAAATCTCTGTATAATGCAAAGAAAAAACAAAATGATCCTTGCAATGATAATTTTGTCATGCAGGCAATAAAAGCATTAGAACACATATTTAAATTGTGCTGTTTTAAATTTGTTGATGCAGCTTAAAAGATAATTACACTTTAGGTTACATAAGATCACATTTGACAATTATGGTAAAAGTCATTTTGTTCAGGATGCCCACCCAGTTGACATCACTGTTTCTGGGTTGCTTTTCCAGAGCGCTTCAAAAAGTCTGTACAAGAGCTTCCTCTAAATCCACTGCTAAACCTAAATTGTTTTAGTACCTTTAATAAAAACTTGAATACAAATTATTTATTCACATATATAAAACATGTATTCTTTTATATTATTTATATACTTTACAGTGGCACTAATCCATCCATTATCTATACACCACTTAATCCTCACTGTGGTCACGGGGGGCTGGAGTCTATCCCAGCCGACTTAGGGTGAAGTCAGGGGACACCCTGGACAGGTCGCCTGTCTATCACAGGGCTACACTTAGAGACAGACAACCAAGCACACTCACATTCACGTCTATGGATAATCTAGAATCACCAATTAACCTCAACATGTTTTTGGACTGTGTGGGAGGAATCCGGAGAACCCGGAGAGAACCCACGCTGCACGGGGAGAACATGCAAACTCTACGCAGAAAGATACCGGTGCCTCCACCAGAAAAAGTTTAGCAAATTTTTAAAAAAAGAAGAAAAGAAGAAGAAAAATAGTAGTTAATAGATGTAACTGAAGGTGGACTGACTTCAGTGTGCATGGTCATGTGCTCTTGACTCTGCCCCTGATCATCACATATAAAATCAATGATCCTTTTCTCAGATAATCTAATTTTAAGTTTAGACAACAAGGTCAACTCAAAACTTTCACATTTATAAATCTGGAGTCTCTCATGAAGTCAAAAAACACTTGTGACGTCAAACTTTAATATAATGTACAGTATTTTTTGCAGTGACAGGTACTTGATTAATTGAATTTCTTTCTCCTTTATGAAGACAGATTGGCATCACTATTGTTTGTGCTTGTATTGACGCTGGATGTTTTGTTGATGGATGTCTTCAATTGTGTCTGGTAGATGCTGCACACGCTGACATGGAGAACCGCTGGAGGAGCAAATCAGCCAATATTCAGCTGCTTTATTATGCAGTGAGCAGACTTTTGACTGCTGTGACAGAGGTGTCATGGTGAGGGGGCAGAATTATGCAAAGCTTGATGACTATTGGTTTCAGTAGCTGAGTAAATGTCTTCTACCAGATTTTACTTTCCACTCCCAAGTTTAGAACGACCACAAAAAGCAATAATCATGGATTATAACCACATGGGACCATTAACTCATATTGACACCGCTGCCAGCATATATACCACAAAGGCTTTGATGAGATTCCAGAAATTCAGTTATGTCTGTCTGTCACCCTGAAGTGGCCCCATCTGATCAAGGAAATAAAGAATCAGGGAGCCGAGGCCCCTTAAAATAAATGCTATTACTGTGTTGTTAGCCCCAAGCTCTGTCTGCGAGGCTCACACTCGTCTTCAAACTGTGCTGTTGGAAAATCTGCTCCAATGATCATACCAGAAACGGTACCTAACGTGTACTTTCTAATCTAATAAAGCCCAAACACGGTTTATATAAAACATGCTTATTAGATTAGGGATGATAGCTGGAGTAAATACAGCCCTTGGGGTGAAACTCAGGGCAACAATACCCAGTTTTATTACTATCGCTTCCCTCTGCGCAGCTCCGCCTCCGGACACTGACGCACCAGAGTGCAGCCCGTCAGTCACCTCGGCATGACGAGAAACAACAAAACAGCCCCACATAGCTGCGATTTACGATAACAGTGGGAGAAAACTCTTCGTTCAGCACTCTCCGGTGTGCCACACGTTCAGCACGATGCCGCGACGTGTCCGTTCACTTGACCGCAACGTAGGATGAGGAGAAGATGCTAGCTAGCTAGCTTGCTAGCTTCCTTGAGCCACACACACAGTAACAGCCAGCCTCGGTAGCCTGTAGCTAACTGGTCGCTCCCCGCTGAACAGTCGAGGTAAGACTTTTCTCTTTTCTCGGTAACTTCTACGCCAGACGCGTTTGTAACAGAAGATTTTGTGTAGTAGGGGTAAGGGATTGTTTCTAGTTGAAAACTTAGCTGACTTCAATTAAATTATACATTGTTTTGTGAGTTTAGCAACAAGCAAGCGGTAGCTAGCAGTTACAGCTACTAAGGTAACATAAAGTTTAAGTTATTATTTAGCTTAATCGAGCTAGCTAACTGTCAGCTGCCTTAACCTGAGCTGAACTAAATACACCTTCATTAACAGCCCATTTGTCATAACACTCTAAAATAATGTTATAATTTTTAGATAGCTACAATTAAGTTTTACTGTAGCTAATTATGTCTGTTGGGTAACAGTCTCACCCGAAAGAGGGATTAAAAAGCACGTTAACTTTGCAGTGTTAACCAAATAGTGACCGAACTGCATTTGTGTTGTCTGACGTTTGACATGTTTCTGGTCGAAATCCAGTTCTTTCTCGTTGTCTGTCGGCTTAGTCTTTTTGTGGCATTCATTGGTCTCTCGGATGTAAACTGGTCTCAGACCTGAGGAGTGTTTGCTTCATTAGCTTGTGATTACATGTTTATAGTTACAACCAAAACAGCTGTCACACATAAGATATGACTGATACTGAGATCTGAGGTGGTCTTGTGTTGGTGTGGGAAGTGTTACTCAAAACCCAGGATAGACCGACCAAGATCATGTTTCAGCTGACAGCTGAGTTGGGCCTCTTCCAAGATTTTTTAAAGACAATAATGTACCTGCCTTTATTTCCTCCTGAAAGTGGATATTACTCAGTGCACCACTGAAATGGTGGTGATTGTAGATTTAATGAAGGTGGCATAAAGTTTCAAGTTTTAATCTTGATAACTGTCGAAATTATCCCATGCATGACCTTTCCCGGTTGTTAAGCGTTTTTTTTTTTTTTAAGCTCGTGTGCAAAGACCCTGTTTGCTTCCTGAGTTTTTGTCAAGTCATTGTGCCAAAAGTGGAACTGGTCTTACAGTTCATATTATTTTCGTTCACTTCCATGCTCATGTGCAGTTCCAACTAAGATTTATCCTGTCTTTAGTCATGGTTATGTTCTGTGATATCAATTATGTTGATTTGACCCTTAACATAAAAATGGCAATATAAATTTGATTTACCCTTTTTAAAAAGGGAGAGATATTCTGTTTACTTAAGAAATTGTATTTATGAAGTGTTACGAAGCGGCTTTTTCAGTGCAGATGCCCACAGTTTGGCTATATATGGTTATCTCTCTTTTGATCCATCCATTCATTATCTATAGACAGCTTTATCCTCTGTGGGTCGTGTGTGTGTGTGTGTGTGTGTGTGTGTGTGTGTGTGTGTGTGTGTGTTGGGGGGGTTGGAGCCTATCCCAGCTGACTAAGGCAGTCTCTCTTTTAATTTTTGTTTTTTAAATGACGATTTGGTTTATTGCATCGTCCCGTATGCATAACAAGTGTAACTTGTGTTTTTTTCAGACCCTAACATGACTGTCATGAGTAGCCTGTTTTTGTGGAAGAAAAGGACTTGTGGCTTTAATCATGTGCCCTGACTTTGTGATCCTGTCTTGCTATGTTCTTGTTTTAAAGCTCTTGTCTGTATTTCTGACAGTAAGTTTCATCCTTCTTTGTGCTTTTAGGCAACGCAATCATGACACAGACAGTCAACCTGTGTTCAGTGTCCCTTGGAGTGGAGGGTATGACATGTGGCTCTTGTGTCCAGTCCATAGAGCAACGCATTGGGGGTCTACATGGAGTGATACATATAAAGGTAAATGCTTACTTTGTAAAGATATAAAGTTGCTTAAATATTTAATGCCATTCTGCTGTTGTTTTTTCAAGGTTAAGGTCCTGGTCTTACAATTTGCTGACTTAAATTGTACAAGGCACTTCCAGTTTAAAAACAGGAAACGATTACCACGTATGTTCCAAAAATGTAATCTATATTTCAAAATATAATATTAGTATCTTGTGGACGAGGCTGATATGTACACGTTATTATATTAGGGTTCCCACCCATCTCAGGGTTTGATTAATCCCGCAGTCTTACTCCCTCTGGACTTGCTGGTCCGATTTACAGCTAAGTAACGTCAGTGTACCCATAAGGGACGGCTTAATTGCAATAGTTGTGGTCTGCTGTTTTGTTTATTGTGTGTTTACCCCTCAGGCTAAGGTTAAATGAGAAGATAATGTAATAGCGTGTCCCACATAGTGCTCTGCCCTTTGCAGGACTGTGACAGTAGGTCGATATATACTCTGTACCCACAGGAAACGTCATTTTGTCTTAAGCGAATTTAGTGCCTGGATCATTTTATGTTAATCTGTATAGACACGATCTTTTAGCAGTGAATTGATTTTTCTTGGTAGAACAATCACTGTCTCATTTCTTGTCCTCTGATTCTTGCAAAAAGGGTTAATCCGACAGGCAGCCAGCCAACCACACTCACTCACTCACTCACTCACTCACTCACTCACTACTAAACCCCCACTGTGGTTCATAACTTCTGGCTAAGTCAGGTGATCCCTTCTCTGTGTCACATGTTTCTTTCTTGCTGAAGAAGGAGAGCTGAGGGTCATCATTCTGACGAAACATGTTGTAAGCTTGCCGAAGCAAATAACTCTTTTTACCCTTTTTGTGTAATAAAGGCTCATTGTTGAGACAAAACAGTTTGCACTGTAGGAGAATGGAATGCCATTAAATAGAAATGTAAGTGAAGGGGGTGGATATGATCACATGAGGCAAGAATTTCCTTTCTGTGTGTTATCTAAATAAACTCCACAATAAGTTAAAGTAATAGCATGCTGGCATGAATAACACACTCGATCCACCTCTTTGACAAAGGCAACCAAACCAGTATCTAGGAAAGAGAAAGCTACCTGCAACTTCTTAATTTGATAGGTCTAATTACTAGTAGAATAACAAAAAAACTCACCATAGATGTAGCTGTTGATAGCTGAACTTTTTTCTTTTGTTTTTTTACATTTTATCAATGTACTCTGTTTTACAGTGTTATTTTTAACTGTAACTTTACGTTTATGTTGTAGGTGTCTTTAGAGAAGAAAAATGCTGCTGTCATATTTGACCACAGCCAACACAGCCCAGAGTCTCTGTCAGAGGCCATCGAGGACATGGGCTTTGATTCAAGTCTACCAGAGGGCACCACAGCGACACCCGTTTCTATAGATACCCAGCTGATCTCCACCTCAGGCCTGACACCTGCAGCCCAACAAGAAGCTTTGGAGAAGCTATCACAAATTCAGGGAGTGCTGGATGTCAGAGAGAACCTGCCCCAGATGGGTTTCACCGTCACCTTTGTTCCTTCCCTGATTTCCACGCAGCAGCTGACTGAAATGGTGCCCAGTGTAACACCTCCAGAGGTCCCCACCCCCAGCAGCCCTACGCAAAAAGGCCTAACCCTCCCATCATCCCCCACCATGGGAGGTGGGGTGGCATTCTTGAAGTTACGCATTGAAGGAATGACCTGCCACTCCTGTACCACCACCATTGAAGGGAAGATCGGAAAACTGAAAGGGATTGAAAAGATCAAAGGTGATGCACTTGACCTGTTTGCAAGTTTATAGGCATATATATAACATCACTGTCTGAGCCAGAAGAGCTGTTGTATCACAGCTACTGCCTTCCATGTCTTATATCTCATAGGTGTCATGTCCTTACGTATCAATCAGGCTCTCTGTAGGTTCACAACTGAGAAGTTGCTTAGCGGGATTTGACTATGACTCATGAAATCCTTTCACTGGTATTGTTGGAAGGAGTGACAAGTAGACAGACAGGATTATGTTTGCAGAGTACGGAATTGTCATTGTGCTTCATGTTCCTGTAAGTGCGGGCAGCTGTGTGCTGCATAGTCTAACTAGTCAGACATTTTTCCCTTTACTGGAAGGCACGTGGCAAAGACATTAAGCCAGAAAATAAACTTACAGTTTTTGTTTGCTCACATTACACCTCACACCTGCCTATAACCATACAACAATCCTTGATGTCTGGGTTGATCAGAGCTAAGAGACTCTTTATAACAGACTTAAAATGGAAGTTTTTGATACTTGATGATCTCAGCCAGCCTGAATTTCTCATGGAGGTTGTGCAAGAGTCTTGGAGTCCTTACTGCTAAGGCTCTGTCTCCTGTAGTTTTGAATAGGCAAGCATCAAGCATATGAAGAGCAAAAGGTCTTTACCCCAGGATCCCAAACTAACAAACTTGTACGGCATGCTTGTTTCTGGTGATTGAATACCTGATGTGTGTTTGCAAATTTAATTAATGTTCTGTTATGGGATTTTCAGTTGTATTTAATATGCCTGATGGCTTGTAGGCATCTGTATCTGCTATTCATATGCAGTCACTTCCTGTTCTTGTGAAATAGTTAGTCTTTGTTCCACTTTGTGTTGCTATTTTAACTTGGTCGTTTTTTTCATTCCACAGTTGTTTTACAATCTCAGGAAGCTACAATCGTCTATTTGCCTTACCTCATCACTGTCCAAACCATCATCGATCAGATTGCTGTTGCGGGCTTTAAGGCCTTTGTCAAGTCAAAGCCCCGCCCTCTGCAGCTGTCCCCTAGTGAAATTGAACGTTTTGTTGATTCCCAAAAACCAACAGTTTCGTCACCATCGGAAACATCAGAGGAGACAGAAATCTTCATAGACACAACACTTGACACGCTCAGGGTGAAAGGCATGCACTGCCGTTCCTGTGTGGTCAATATTCAAGACAATATCTCAGCGCTGCCCGGTGTTTCCTCTGTGGAGGTCTCCCTGGAGAACGAGAAGGCCACTATCTGCTATGATCCTCTTAAAATCACAGTGACTCAGCTGCAGCAGGCAATTGAGGCGCTGCCTCCAGGAAACTTTAAAACTCAACCCTGGGACGCCTCTGGACCTCTTAGCCCTGTATCCACATTGCCTTTGCCTCCCTCATCATCAGCGCAGCCTGCAAGAGCAACCCAGGCCAAACCTGCTGCCTCACAGCCTTGCTTTATCCAGCCTCTGGCATCTGTGGTTAATATTCACATTGAAGGCATGACGTGCAACTCCTGTGTCCAGTCCATTGAAGGCATGATCTCCCAAAGGAAGGGTGTGATATCAGCCCAGGTCTCTCTGGCTGATCACCAGGGGATCTTTGAGTATGATCCCCTCCTGACCACACCAGAGGAGCTGAGGGAGGCCATAGACGACATGGGATTTGATGCTTTCCTTCCTGGTAAGGGGACAGATAGTGTTGTCTTCATTCAATGCATATTTTCTGTGTCTGCGTGGTCAGACTGATGCAGACTTTAAATGTGGACATGGTTCTGTTTATACTACAATAGGCACTAGTTGGTCTGCTATGCAGTAACATTTCCTCTCAGACAATTTTAAAGGCTAGCTGTGACTTTTCTCTTTCTCACACAATGTAGCAGCTACTTTCAGATTGCGCTGTTGCATTGTGTCAGTGATTGTTGCTCAGGTGTGTCAAGTGCAGTGGGCAGGTATAAAACTTTTGCTGTGTTTGGGCACCTCCAAAGTCCTGGAACAACTTCTTCAGTTACAACTCTTTTAAAGATTTGTTATTAAAGTGTAGATGATATAGAATGTACAGCCTCTCGTTGTAACAAGCTTTTGTTTTCAGCACCATTTGTTTGACTGGTACATATTTAGTCAGCGTATTTGCAATGTGGACACGACATGTGGTCACAAATTTTGGGCTGAACATGACTGTAGACCCTGCGAACTTTGGTTGTTTACCAAATTGACGTCACATGTACCTTTGTGGACACGCAGAAAGCATGAATCTGCCTTTATAGTCGACTAATTACCCATGTAGTAGAATGGTTACAACAGTTTTGTTCCAGTGACCTTATTAGGGAATTGCTTAGTTAGATGTTCTAAAGGTAAACTGTAGTGTCTTTAGATGTACCTACAAGTTTTTCCTGTGTTTAATACCTATAATTTCCTGTTAACAGAGACCAACTCCTTGCTGCCTACATCTGATCCCATATTGTCAAAGTCTTTAAGTACACCAACTGTCAAAGGTAAAGAGCTGGACAATGACCTACACAAAGAAACCACCCAGGGTCGCAATGGAGAAGTACACTCTAAATGCTACATCCAGATCGGAGGGATGACCTGTGCTTCCTGTGTGTCAAACATCGAGCGGAACCTCAAGAACGAACCTGGTCTGTAAATTTTACAATTTTATTTCTAACAGCTTCAGTTGTATGTCACTGCATGTCATTAGCAGCTAAAGAGAAAATCTAAAATGTTGTGCAGGTATCTACTCTGTTTTGGTCGCACTGATGGCCAGTAAAGCAGAGGTCCGTTATAATCCTGAAGTCATCGACCCTGTGAAGATCGCTGAGTGTGTGAAAGAGCTGGGCTTCAGCGCCTCAGTTATGGAGGACTATGAAGGTTCAGATGGAAACCTAGAACTAGTGGTGAGTCAGCATGAGGCTGCATTGACATTGTGTTTCAGTTGTCGTAAGAATACAAGATGTTCAACAGTAATTTATTTCCACAGTGTAAAAAAAAGCCATAAATGTACAATTCTGTTAATAGCTGTAAGGAATGGATAAGCTTACATTCAGGAGATGAAATTTATCATGTACTGAGTTACTCACGTCAGATCTTCATAATGTAATTTTGTTTCTTTATCTACTTGAGTGCTCCTTCACTTCACCTTCTTTCAGGTCAGGGGAATGACGTGTGCCTCTTGTGTTCACAAAATCGAATCCAGCCTTATGAGAGAAAAGGGGATTATATATGCCTCTGTTGCCTTGGCAACCAACAAAGCACACATCAAGTACGACTCAGAAATTATAGGGCCACGAGACATCATCAAGCTGATCGAGGTAATACTCCTGCCTCTGTTATTTATGCTTACATACAGGCCTGAATCTGTGAAGTCATTTCATATATCTGAAGTGTTAAATATAAAGACTTGAGGATGATGCGTAGTGTGACTTTGATTTGTAGAACCTAGGATTTGAAGCGTCTTTAGTAAAGAGGGACCGCACTGCCGATCACCTGGACCACAGCAAGGAGATTCGACAGTAAGCAGCATTTTTTCTGTATTTTTTAATGTACCTCTTCAGATCTAGCCTTATTTATGAGGGTTTTTTTATGTTTCCATATTTAGCTGGAGCTTGAAGTTACTTAAATGTTGACTCAATGATTCGTCTAACTTTTCTCAGAAAAGGCTTCTGTTTTTAGATCTGGCTAAAATGCTTGTCGAGAGTTGGGAACACCCCCACATTACTCAGTCAATTCTGTTTTTGCAGCAATCAGTTTCTCTGGAACATAATACAGCTTTGACCATTTGTGCCAGCAGGGAAATTGTAGATGCGGCCTTTTTAACACTATCGAAAGTAACCACAACGTTGCCACAGCCATTCTGTGGTGTTTGGGTTTGGAACCAAATTCATGACGTTCATGTCGATGGAACCTTGTCAAAATGCAGTCAGTCAAATATTTGGAGAAGTTGTTTGTATACAGGCAAATTGAAACAAGTCTAGTATTTATTCTAAATGACTGAAGACATTTATGTAATAATTGTTACTTGTGTGCATACTTGAACAAATGTGTGTATGTATGAATGCAGGTTTGTTAACGGTCATATACATGCACTGTTTGTGGCTTAATACTTTACATGGTGATAAGCAATGTCCACACATGTACATTTGCCTTTCTCCTCAGGAAGGAGACTTAAACACTGCATAAGAAACAAAATGAATCCTTTACTGACACACAAATGTCCTCTTTCCCTAAGATGGAGGAGATCCTTCTTTGTGAGCTTGATTTTCTGCGTGCCTGTGATGGGAATGATGATTTACATGATTATCATGGACCACCAGATGAATGTTTCACATCAACACAACTCAACAGCAGAGGACCGCAATCATTACCACTCCACCATGTTCCTGGAGAGACAGCTGATCGCAGGCCTCTCCATCATGAACTTCCTCTCCTTCCTCTTCTGTTTGCCTGTTCAGGTAAATCACTGGGATTAACTGCACTCCCAGGAACACGATATGTACATTTTAGTAGCACGTTTTTACATTGAGAAGGATGGACTTATTCAGGAGGAGGGAGGGAATCAGAATTAAATGATTTTGGTCAAGTGAATACAAGTTTTTCTCTTTTTCCTCTCCACAGTTTATTGGAGGTCGCCATTTCTACATTCAAGCCTACAAAGCAGTGAAACACAAATCTGCCAACATGGATGTGCTCATTGTTCTCGCCACCTCCATAGCTTTCAGCTACTCGCTGGTCGTCCTCATCGTGGCCATGGTAGAGAAGGCAAAAGTCAACCCCATCACGTTCTTTGACACACCACCCATGCTGTTCGTCTTCATCTCTCTGGGACGGTGGCTGGAACAAATAGCCAAGGTTTAACTCATTATGATTATTGATTCCTTTGACATTTCCAGTAGCCTTTTTAAAATACACCACCTTGATAGTATGTGCTAGGGACAAGTAAATAATTTTTTGTGCTGCCTTCCAGAGCAAGACCTCTGAGGCTTTGTCCAAACTGATGTCTTTACAAGCTACTGAGGCCACGGTGGTCACTCTCAGCAGTGACAAGTCTATTCTCAGGTACTTTCTTTCTACAGTCACTTTATTTACAAGAAACTTTCATATGTTCAGTTGGTTTGTTTACAATACATCAAATCTTTACAGTTGAAATGTTAGTTGAAATATACAACTTAACAAAAGGTGTATTCACATGCTGCAGGGCATTTTCCAAAGTGAAAGTAACGCAACCATTTTTGACAATTCCGAACAGGACTCACATTTAATGATCAGTTTCAGTCTTACGCGTGTTCTGAAAACACAAACTCTCCCTGTAATATCGCGGTATCATAATTAGAATTATTTTTTCAGGATTGCAAGCCACTTTTGTATTTTGATGACACAATGGTTTTTACTTAAGTGACAGTGAATAACATTCACATTGTTTGACAATTATGTGTGTTCCAGCGAGGAGCAGGTGGACGTTGAGCTGGTGCAGAGGGGCGATGTGGTGAAAGTAGTTCCTGGAGGGAAGTTTCCAGTCGATGGGAGGGTCATTGAAGGACATTCCATGGCTGACGAGTCTCTTATCACAGGTTGGTTGCATTGAGTGAACTGAGGATCTCCTAAGTGTTGATTAAGGACTTGATATGTGCAGTAGTGGTGGCAGTATACTAAAAGACATATATTAAGGTGACACTATGTGATAATAATACACAATACTTATATATACCGTTTTACAAAGTTTGCAAGAATGCTAAAGCGAAATATAAAATGAAGAAAGGAGCATGTAGATAAAAGGGATCACAAGTTGTAGGCAGTGTTCGAAGATGTGTCTTTATGGATTTCTTGAATATGGACAGTGAGGAGGATTCTCTGATGCTTTTGGGGAGGGAATTCCAGAGGGTGGGAGCGGTGATGGAGAAAGTTTGGTGCTTTTCCAGATGGGGGCAGATATAGGAATTTGTTCAGGAGAATGTTTGGTAGTTTCCCTTAAATGCATCAGCAGCAGACTGCCATGAAAGTACTTGATAAAATGCAAAGTCCAGTTGCATGAGCAAACCCCACGTGTGTTCCCTCCCTGGCTCAGCTGGTTTGATAGTGGAGCGTCTTTGCCCTCCATCGTTCTCCCCTGCTTCATGTTGCCTCCATCCGTGCCTGCAGTCCCTTCATGTTGGGGGCTGCAGCTGGCAGGAACTGGCTTTGCGGCGATAAAACACCCACACCCTTGTGCCTCCCACCACGTCCCCTTAAGCAGTGCACTCCAGGCAGTCTGCTCCCACGGCTGACAAATTAGTTGGGGTGTGCATGAAGGCCGGTGCAGTACGGAGTCTCAGTCTGGTGATACCTGGTTCTGTCAAGCCACTGGAACCTTATTCTCAGTGCGCTTTGGCGTCTTACCTTGGTCGCCTTCAGTGCACCCCCAATGTTACGAATCACTTTAATATTGCACATTTCGTAATTTTATCTTATTGATGTTGTCGTCAGCCCACCTCACAGTTGATTTTACCTGATTTCTTTATTTAAGTTATAAAATTCCTTTGTTCTTTCCTATTTGTTTGTATTGCTTGTAGAGTTTTTTTTTTTTTCTGCTGGTCTTTCATTAAATATTATCAGTAACTATCAGTATCAACTGATATGAAACAATATATCGCGATAAGTTTCAGCTAAATCACTGAGCCCTGCCTGCAACCCACATGATTGATATCAGTAAATACTTAAGTTAAAGTCTTTGCTCTAAAGTATTGGACATTCTTCTTCAGTTTTCTGTGTCCTGTATTGTTTTCCTCAGTAGCAGTGCTGACACAGTTTACCGTAACAGTTATTAACCTTCATTTCTTATGTTAGTATCTGTTTTTATCCAGAACATAATTTTAGAATGTGAAAACATGAGTTCCAAATAGTAAAAAGCAGTTTTCAGTTATCATTTCAGCTTTCAGCAGTATTATCTCCAGATAACCTGCTCCTGTTTCTTACTGCCTTGCCCTGTTGTTTTTCTGATCGGTTCTTGCTTTGTTGACTCCAGGTGAGGCCATGCCTGTGACAAAGAAGCCCGGGAGCTCGGTGATTGCAGGCTCCATTAACCAGAATGGCTCTTTGCTCGTCAGTGCTACACATGTTGGCATGGACACCACACTGTCTCAGATTGTCAAGCTGGTGGAGGAGGCTCAGACTTCAAAGGTGAGTTGTGTGGTTTGCACTGTGTCTGCCAGCGTTGATGGTTGCACTCAATAAGTGTTACATTTTTCACATTTTATTTTTCAGGCTCCCATCCAGCAGTATGCAGATAAAATCAGTGGCTATTTTGTGCCCTTCATTGTTGGCATATCTGTACTCACACTGATCGCCTGGATTTTCATTGGGTTCTTGGACTTCTCTGTAGTTGAGGAGTACTTTCCTGTGAGTTCTTTTTAGTCTTAATATCTTGCTCTGTCCAGTATAGCATGAATTCCTTTCATTAGTCTCTATTGCAAATGAAGTATTACACACCTCTAAATATTACTGCGTTTTCATTGCATTTGGTATTCCTGTGTATTACTCTAACTTACTAATATATTTTTTTCTTCAATAAAGATAAAAGTATTTTTTAATAGCTGGGAAGAAACGCTAACAGCTCTGTTCATTGTCTGCAGGGTTATGACAAAAGCATTTCCAGAGCCGAGGCAGTGATTCGCTTCGCCTTCCAGGCCTCCATAACAGTATTATGCATCGCCTGTCCCTGTTCCCTTGGCTTGGCAACCCCGACAGCTGTCATGGTGGGCACAGGGGTTGGAGCCCAAAATGGCATCCTGATAAAGGGAGGGGAGCCACTCGAGATGGCACATAAGGTGTGTTAATGATGATGTTCTGTCACCCCTGTGGAGTCAGCCAATTATGTAAGAGGCCTGCTGTCAATTTAAACACATTGTGAATGTTCTGGTGTCTTCGGTTCCACAACTAAATCAGTCAAGATATTAAACACCATTAAAACATATAAACTCAGCCTGATAGTCTTTTATTTTAGATTTTTCTAATGTTTTCTTTTGCGCACAGGTCCAGTCGGTGGTGTTTGACAAGACTGGGACCATCACCTATGGTGCGCCGAAGGTGATCCAAGTCAAGATAGTCGTGGAGGGAAATAAGATGCCTCGCTCCAGACTGCTGGCTATTGTTGGCACAGCTGAGAACAACAGCGAACACCCTCTGGGAGCAGCTATCACCAAATACTGTAAACAGGTTGGTGTCAGATTCAACTCCTGACACTTTGTTTTGGTAAAATCTTGGATAACTGGTCCTTTATGTTACATCATTTTTTCAAAAGTTACAAATCTGTTGCTATTTGTGTGCAGGAGCTTGGCACAGAGTCTCTTGGCACATGCACAGACTTTCAGGCAGTGCCAGGCTGTGGCATCAGATGTCAGGTCAGCAACACGGAGACTCTGCTAAAACAGGCGGACAGTGACAGCGAGGACAACAACCAGCGCAACAGTGTCCTCGTCCAGATCAGTGACACCAGGCTGTCCACCAGCTCGCATCCCCTCATCATGGACCCACAGCCACTAAGTATGTTGAGGAGTGCAGTCCTAATACTTCATTGTAGTTGCTGTAAAGTTGTGTTTCACTCATGTTGTTTTTTTGCTGTTGTGTGCAGGCCTGGTTCAGACAGCCACCTATACTGTCCTGATTGGCAATCGAGAATGGATGAGAAGGAACTGTCTGCAAGTCAGACCTGATATTGATGAAGCTATGACAGAGCATGAGCGCAGAGGACGCACAGCTGTTTTAGTAGCTGTAGACAGTGAGTAGTCATTTTTGACATGTAATTTACCTTTTTAAAGGTGCAAAATTATTTGGAGAACAGTCTCTTTAACATAAAAAAAACGTGTGTTTGTGTATAGACCTGCTGTGTGCAATGGTAGCAATAGCAGACACAGTGAAACCAGAGGCTGAGCTGGCAGTGCATACGCTGACCAACATGGGTCTGGAAGTTGTGCTGATGACTGGAGACAACAGCAAGACAGCTCGAGCTATTGCTGCTCAGGTAAGGAAATGGTTAGATCAAGACCCGACTAGTGTTATTTGTATGTTTTTGTCGCTAGAAATTGGTATTGTGATGCTATTTTGAGAGTGAAAATCTGTGACTTTACACAAACCTGAACTCCTAATTTAAATAGATGGTCACTGTAAAGAAAATATTAGTCATGCTGATGTAACACTACGATGTAGCCAAGAGACTTCGCTAATGTCTAGGTTTGGATTTTGTAAAGCTAATTGATCAATGCCTTGCAAAAGCATCCCCTTGAACTTTTCCACATTTTGTCATGTTATAAGCACAAACTTAAATGTGTTTTATTGGGATTTTATGTGACAGACCAACACATGGTAGTACATAATTGTGAAGTGAAAGGAAAATGATATGTGGTGTTAAAAAGTTTTTACAAATAAAGCTCTGAAAAGTGTGGTGTGCATATGTGTTATATATGTTCAGCCCCTCTGAGTCAATACTTTGTCAAACCACCTTTCGCTGTAACTACAGCTACAAGTCTTTTGGGGTATGTCTCTACCATCTTTGCACAGCCAGACACTGCCATGTTTGCCCATTCTTCTTTGTAAAATAGCTCCATTTCAGTCAGATTGGATGGAGAGCATCTGTGACCAGCAATTTTTAAGTCTTGACACAGATTCTCAATAGGATTTAGATCTGGACTTTGACTGGGCCATTCTAACGCATGAATATGCTTTGATTTAAGTCATTCAATTGTAGCTCAGACTGTATGTTTAGGGTATTGTCCTGCTGGAAGTTGAATCTCTGCTCCAGTCTCAAGTCTTTTGCAGCCTCTGACAAGTTTTTTTTACAGGATTGCCCTGTATTTAGCTCCATCTATCTTCCCATCAACTCAGACCAGCTTTCCTGTCCCTGCTGAAGAAAAGCATTCCCACAGCATGATGCTGCCATCAGCATGTTCCATGATTGAGATGGTGTGACTGATGTTCAGTGTTAGGTTTCTGCCGCACATATCATTTTACATATAGGCCAAAAAGTTCAATTTTGGTCTCATCTGACCAGAGCACCTTCTTCCACATGTTTGCTGTGTCCCATACATGGCTGGTGGCAAACTGAAAATGGGACTTCTTATTGCTTTCTTTCAACAATCTCGCCACTCTTCCATAAAAGCCAGATTTGTGGAGTACATGACCAATAGTTGTCCTGTGGACAGATTCTCCCACCTGAGCTGTGGATCTCTGCAGCTTCTCCAGAGTTGCCATGCACCTCTTGGCTGCTTCTCTAATTAATGCCCTCGTTGCCCGGCCTATGAGTTAAGGTGGACAGCCATGTCTTAGTAGGTTTGCAGTTGTGCCATACGCTTCCCATTTTCAGATGACGGATTGAACAGTGCTCCGTGAGATTTTCCAAGCTTGGGATACGTTTTTATAACCTAACCCTGCGTTAAACTTCTCCACAACTTTATCCCTGACCTGTCTGGTGTGTTCCTTAGTCTTCATGATGCTGTTTGTTCACTATTGTTCTCGAACAAACATCTGAGGTTGGTCATCTGTTGGTCTATCACATGAAATCCCAATGAAATATATTTAAGTTTTTGCTTGTAACGTGACAAAATGTGGAAAAGTTCAAGGGGTATGCTTTTGCAAGGTACTGTATTTGGAATTTTGCCAAACTGTGCCATTTTGGTAAAACAGATTGGGCTGTAAATTGAAATCCATCATGGTTTTTTTTTTGTATTTCTGTGTTCTCCCAACAGGTGGGCATCAGGAAGGTGTTTGCTGAAGTACTTCCTTCCCACAAGGTGGCCAAAGTGGAGCAGCTGCAGCAGGAAGGAAAAAGAGTCGCCATGGTGGGTGACGGTGTTAATGACTCGCCTGCTCTGGCCATGGCTGACGTGGGCATCGCCATAGGAACCGGGACAGATGTGGCTATAGAGGCCGCAGATGTGGTGTTGATCAGGGTGAGAGTTACAGCTTCTCTGTCACTTAATGTGAAAACATCAAACAAGATATTTCTGCCCTGCAGCATGTCTGAATCGCTGCATCACAGTTGCACACAGTATCATGACATGCTGAGCATTAGTAGCAAGAAGTAAAATGTAGACAGTTGTGCAGCATGCTACATTTGCACCCTTTTATATTTATTCACTGCACTTTCAATAGGCACATAATTGTAATGTGTAACAAGAAAGTAATGTCTAAGTTTATAACCACAGTTTTCTATTATTGACGAGTAAAAACCTGAACAAAGCGGTTGCTGTATTATCTCAACTGTGTCAACTTTCCTTTCAAGGACATTTCAGCTTAAAAAGTGGTTTAAATTCTTTTTCAGTTTATCACTAAACACTGAATGATCTAATATTGCTTCCCTTCTATTTTACCCTTTGTTGTTTTGTCTGCAGAACGACCTGCTGGACGTGGTTGGCAGTATTGATCTCTCTAAAAAGACAGTCAAGAGGATCAGGATCAACTTTGTTTTTGCTCTTATTTACAACCTGGTTGGAATTCCTATTGCTGCTGGTAGGTACAGCATCTACCTCATATTACATTATTGTAGTGACAGCAATGACTCAAGTTATTCTGAGTGCAGCAGTCAAACGAACCTGCTTTGTTCACAGGTGTGTTCCTTCCCATTGGTCTGGTGTTACAGCCGTGGATGGGCTCTGCTGCGATGGCCCTTTCATCCGTCTCTGTGGTTTTGTCCTCCCTTCTACTCAAATGGTACGGAGATATTTAATGTTTTGTTGATTCCTGTTGTGTCCTTTGTTTTTCCTCTCTTTTGAGTGTATTTCTATAAAACCTTTTTTCCACCGCTTTCTCTTCATCTTTCTGTAGTTACACTAAACCCAGTGCTGAGAAGCTGGAGGCCAGACTGGGTAACAGCAGACGGCAGGGCAGCCTGTCCGACGTCAGCGTCCACATTGGCATGGGTGAGCTGCGTCGTCCCTCCCCCAAACTCAGCCTGCTGGACCGCATTGTCAACTACAGCAGAGCCTCGATCAACTCCCTGCGCTCCGACAAGCACTCCCTCAACAGCTTAGTGCTCAGTGAGCCCGACAAACACTCGCTGCTGGTGGGGGGGGAGCTGTGTGAGGAGGAGTTTTGCTGAATATGTGGAGCTCAGATGGCCAGCAAAGACTTTTGTTTGCTGAAGTAGACAGTAACTGCATTTATTCAATGCTAGGCCACGCTAAGCTGAAAGGGTTACATTGAATAATGGCCCATCCATCTGCTGTAGGTGCCTCCAGGGCAGCACTGTTTACTTGATGAAAGCGTATATGCCCCGTGTTTTCTTTTATGCCAACCAGCTGATCACATGCACTTCAGAGTGTGCTGGGGTGATTTTTGTTGAGGTCACTGCCCTCGAAGGCGCTCTTCGACAAAGCCTCCGACCCTGAGATCCTCCGACACTGTCTGTTCAGGGGCATGAAGCTTCCTCAGAGCGTTGAAGCAAGTGTCCACATCCAGGAAGCAGAGTTCTGATCATCTCTGCCACTGTGGTCATTTGCCCTTACAATCTTTACCACCTATCCAAAGACATTTACACAGCGGTGCGCCACTTGCGAGAGTGGCCGCCACGGAGTTCTATTTTAACACAGTTTCCTTAAAGGGAAAATTATAACACTGTTGTATAATTCTGTTCCACACTATTTATATTATCATTATTTATCTATTTTTTCATTATATCCTTTGGGAAAAATGAAGTTATTGAATCCAAATGCCAATTTTTGTTTTTAATCTCACAAAATGTGTAATTACCGCGTAAGATCAAGCATAAAAACCCAATCTATGAAGCCTTGTAACTAGCTGCAAACTGATTGTCGTGCAAACGGAGTGAGTTGTATATGTCAGTGTTACCCAAGTGCCAACTGAAGTGCCACTCTGGCAAAGTCCAACACATTCCAAAGATAGCGCCGTACAGAAGTTATCTTGGACTTCATGTGCACAAAGTGGGGACAGAGATACATAAGGTCAAAGACTCAATGCAGAGATCTGCTGAAGGTTGACTATTTGCTGGTTTTATAGTTGTGTGAACCCTCTGCACCTTTGGTCAATGATACAAGTTGTCCGTGGACGAATGTGAACATTATTTACTGTTATAATGAAGCAGAAGTTGTTACATAGATGGCATTGTGCTTGGGTTCCTTTATTTGCCTGTTGCTTTGAAAAGGCCAAACTGTAAATGCATTTGTGTCCTCCTTGCTATTACAGTAGGTAAGGAGGTGTTACTGTTCCTCCAAATTTCTTTCAGTGGTGCAAATCTGTCAGTTTTTCTGCTTGTTTTTGTAAGATTCACACTGTTGCACTTGATCAAAGAAACATGTTGAAACCCAGGAGAGCGGGAAGCACAGCAGTATCAGCAGACTGAGCCTGCTGTGTCCCAGCAGGTCCACAAGCAAGTTACTGAGAAACAAACGCTGATGGCTTAAGTAGGTTTGCTTCAGAAATCACATTGTACAATTCAAGTAAGATCGCAGCAGTGATGTTTTGCAATCATAGACAGATTGTTGAACTGTCGCGCTTTATTTTTTTCTTCTGTAAATTCTCTAGTTGTTTGTGCATTGTCAAATCAGCAAGTCAAAAAAAAATCATACAATCCAGCCATTCCTTAAACTTCTGTGTCACAATCTCTCCTGTGTTTCTCTCAGCTGACGAAAACAGGAATCAGTTTGTCCTGCCGCCTTCCCATAATGCACTACGTTCTGTAGCAGTCGCAGCTTGCTGGATGCACTTCTGCCAATCTGTTGTTTTTGTGCAATGCTTTGTAAAGGCGTCCATAGGGCTTCAGATCTGTGTGCAGTCAAATTTACGCAAGTCCATGTGTGCTATCTTCCATGGTTCTTCTGAACATTGTGTGCCTTGGAATAAAATGCTTTTATAACCTCACTCTGCCGTGTCCACGTACCACCAGAAGATGGCGCCGTGGAGCCATCTGTTCACCATACACAAACACCAGCTGCAAGATTTTGTCAAGTTTATTTCATCCGGTTAGTCTAAACATTACATCACCCCAGTGTACTACAAAACAATCAAATGCCATTTTTTTCCCATAGTATTTTAAAAATATTATTTCAATTAATGCAAGCTATAAATGACTTTTTCCTCTTGAGTTGATTTGTATCGCTTTGGCTGTGGTGATATTTGATTTGGTAGACTGAAGGTTGTGAGCGTTATTTATTAGGGAGCTAATTTTTTTATTATTTCTTCATAATATTAAAGAGAAATTAGCTGTAACTAAACGAAGGGCAGGTTTATCGTTTGTTTTTTTCTCACTCCCTCGCTGATCAAGGATGAACATGTACTGAAAATCAGTGTGGTCAGGAAGCTGAACAGGCTTAACAAGGTTTTTTAAAAATGTGCAGCATTTGAAATCCGTTACAACATCGCGCTTTTTCTAGACTAACACACCTCAGACAGCTGGAATTGGAAAATGCTACATTCAGTTACCTTGAACACTAGAATAACAATTTTTTTTAACTTCATATCAGCTAGGAACAGCTCCGACTCCACCATATGTCTCTGGAAACACTGACGATCTAAATAAAAGTTACTTACACAGCAATATATGTAAGGAGATTACAGCATGTTAAACATTAAACACCTTACAAAAATTACACACCGTGATCAGAAAAGGATGCAATAAAATGTTCACAAGCATTTCATGTGTTTCGATTGAAGATGTAAACATGTGCATTAAATGGAACAAATGATTTAAATATACACTGGGTTTTTTAAAAATACATTTAAAATCATTTTTAAATTTCAAAATGAGGATAGGTTGGTCAAAGATTTGAAATACTTATTGTAGAGTTTTTGTGGCTTCAAGCCCATCTTTTTTTTTTTTTTTTCACTCTCATCCCTGATTTAAAAAATGTCCAATGACAAGTCTGGCATGTTACTATACAGTGATGTGAAGTTACAGCAGCTGTTTATGTGGCCCACAGAGACGATCAGTGTAATGAACGGCAGAATGAAGAAGGTGGCTGGATTGAAGCAATCTGGCCCAAACAACAAGAGTTTACATCAACTGTGTCCAAAGAGATTTTGTCATCTGAACACTGGCTGCAAATGAGTGACAACAACAGACTGCTTTATCATCAGCTCACCGGACTTCATCGCTGTAATAGTTTAATGAAACAAAAAGCAAGAGGTTGTTGCAGAAGATTTCTTTTTTTTTTAAGATGAGAGTTTCCTCATTCCTAAAACTTAACAGACTGGATGTCTGTGAAGATTCTCAGTCATCCAGGTCATGGTTATTCTTTTAGATTAATCGTAGCAACACTTGCGTTTTGAAACTCAGGCGTTAGTGCCTCCTTAAGGATATAAGTATGTGGATCTCCCAACTAGTCAGTCAGAACTGCTGAAGCCTCTTGGATGAGAGGTGAAACGTCTTCAAGGAACTCAAGCAAGTCCAGTTGCTACGATTAATCTACCAGAATTAACAGACTGGAACTGTTTGAGTTCCTACAAACTCCGCGAAGCAGGTTGACTTCATGCTGGCAAAAGTCAGATTTAATATCAGTCACATTGATCCTTCAGTGTTGCATCCTAACAAACACTACCTTCAGAATGTTTTTGGCATTTTCCCTAAATACTAGCATCCATATCTACCACTCCACATGTATGTATAAAAGTACTGTAACACCTTTTAAAACAGCTTCTATTTCGATTTTGGATTGTGCCACTCTGTGCGGTTATGAAACCTGTATAAGGCATGAATGAAAAGTTGAATTTGCTGCGATTGCCTAGTGCAGACAACTGGTGTGTTTTGCTGAAACGATCCATAATAACATTGTCAGAACCTTTCAGTTTTCCTGAACGCAGAAACTGTGTGTTACTAAAAAAAAAGACTTTTCAGAGCCCGCGGTCACATCCCGCGATGCTGGCATGAGGAGTGGTTTGTTCATGCGTGTCTGGCAAGCAGAATAAATAGTGTGATAAACATTGATTATTATTAAGACATCAAATAGCACCGTGTTGGCCCGTCAGTAGTTGCCACCGTCATAACGTCACATTTTATAGGGTGGATCCCTGGAGAATTGTTTTTCAGTTACATGAAAAGATGTCAAGAGGCCTCGAAGCTTGTTTAATGTCACTCATTTGGCAAAGAGAACTGAATTTACGTGAGGCGGCAAACCTTTCTTTGAAATAAATCTAGGAGGTTGTAATCGTTGATAGAGGTTCTAAAAATGTGTGAGTAGTTACAGATTTGGCAAATGCAAGAACTGCAGAGAGCTATATATCAAATCAAATCTGATTATAACCAGTTAAAATGCAGGTAAGGAACTCCCTGCCCACCTTACGTAGGAGAGTGTGACTGTGTTTTCATGGCGACATACGATCAACAGGTCACCCATTTAAGAAATACTGCACAGAAAAAAAATGTCCACTTGAAAACAATCTTACACGGGCCACTATACATCTGTCATGATAAACATCAAACTGTTCACCCCGGCCCAGTCGGAGAAAAATCTTCTGTAGCAGTTTCAATAAAACCAACAATCACATCGACTAAAAGCAAACATCTCGTTACAAAGAGACTGACTGAGAGAGGGAGTCCTCGGATATCCATCTGAATGCTGGAAATGAGGAGACAAAAACTTAACTTTGGCACACTGAATGAGGAGAGCTGGCAGAGAGGTGAGGACCGAGCCTGCAGCTGTGTTATGGCAGTGTTTGGATGAGGGGGTGCACACTCATAGCCCTTTGTTGAAGTAGACCCTCTCCACTCCCGGGTGCTTGGCCCGGATCTTCTCCTGCAGCTCCGGCTCCAAGCGGCTGACTGACATGGAGCTGGATCGGGGGGGATAGAGAGATGCACGGGTTAACGGGTCATTCACTGATTACGCAACTCGTCAGGCAGAAAAGAATCCTGCACACTCTGCATTTAGTCAGCCAGAGGAAGACCAGAGTATGAAGTGAGATCAGTGGGTCAGTGAGGTACGTTGAGCCTCAAGTCAGGGTTTTCAGTGTCACGAAGGTGGTTGTGTTTTTACCTGGCTAGATCTCCATGGTAACTGATGCTTTGGAGCTAACCTGGAGTTTCGGATTTAAATTGGCTGGAAGAAGTGTTTACTTTTTACCAAATCATTTTCTGATGATTCTTTAAGACCGATACAGATTCTCAGCTGAGGGAACGTGTTTCATCTGCACACCTGTTCAGCTCACTAAAACCCCTGAATGAAGCCGTGTAGCTACAGTCTCTCACACTGTGTGCATCACGTTGCCGTGAAACTAAACGTGTATTTAGCTGGTGATGGTGAAATAAATATGTTTGGTCCTGATTTGCTGCTACTGAAGCTGATAGAGTACACTTAGAAAACGGATTGTTCTACTGGTATTTATTATAGAGAATATTCAATCAGCAACATCAATTTCACTTTGATTTGGCCAAACATTAGTGACACCCTGCATGATGGAACAGTGTCAGATCTAAATGCACTTCAGTACAATATCATGTTTAAGTATATGAGGAGTTCATTTGCAAAAACAGAAAACTCCATCTTCACAAACTTTCAGAAAACCCACTCTTCCATCCTCTACCTGAGATAATATCAATCAAGCTTAAGTTATCTCTATTTTTGTCATTTCTACTGAGTCAAATCCACTCAGCTTCAGTTTGATCGATATTATCTCAAACAACAACAAAAAAAGTTTTCTAAAAATTGACAAAAAATGGAGTTATCTGTTTTTGCAAATGACCTCTTTGTATATAGTTTAAAGTTTACCAGCTCTAATTTGCACATGATTAACAGTTTTCTACCCACATCATTTCCAGTAGCCACACTTTTTTTTTCTTTCTTGTTGTTCGCCATCGTAACAATCTGATGACTGAAGCAGCTGCACACAATCGTTTCATTTTTGTGCGGAAGAAGAGTCAGGCGACGCTTTAAACACCGCCTTTCATGTGAACGCGTTTAGAGTTTGAAGCAGAAAGCCTGAGTTGACAGAGAAAGCTGATAACGATCTTTTTGATACCCGTTATCTCTGACTGGGGCTTTAGTTTCTACCCAGTCGACTTACACAAAGGAAGCCCGGCTTTGTCAAACTTGCCTCGTAGTACAGCCCTGTGGTTCTGAGGCTACGACACACTATTTACTGTGATCTCAAGTTGAAAAGAGTCACTCACCTCTTCTGAGGGAACAAAGCGCAGCACAGTGGAGTGGCAAACACCAGGCTGAAAAAGAAACAGATCTGTGAAACGTGCATGTAAACAGGATGGTTTTGATCACAATCAGCACATTAAGATGATCCTGCCGTCAAATCAGGCTACACCAATGCTGCCCAAAAACACTGAACAAATTGTCTATAACCTCATTTTCTCCGCCTGGACAACTGCAGATCGCCATCGCTTGGCTCAGTGATGCAGCAGTTACAGCCCTGGTTGAACTACACCCGCTCCCCTTCATGGTCTGGCTCCATCTCACAACTTCTAACCCATTTGTCTGCACCTTGACCCCTCAGATCAGAGAATCTTTTACTGATAAAAACACCACAGTCTAGACTTAAAACAAAGGGGACCAAGCTTTTACTGTTTTCGCTTCCCCTCAAAGTCCCATCAGCTGCCTCAGCTCAAAAACCTTTTTTAAAAAAACCCTCTACAGTCAGACATTTGACTAGTTTATGTATTTGTTTATTGTCCTTTTTAATGTTTTACTGTCTTTACTAAGCTTTTACAGTCTTCTTTTCATGTTTTATTGAAGTTTTTTAATGTTTTGTATATTTAAAGCATCTTGTAACTCCAGCTTTGGAAGGACCTATAAAAATACAGTTCATCCATCCATCCATTATCTATACACCGCTTAATCCTCGCTAGGGTTGCGGGGGGCTGGAGTCTATCCCAGCTGACTCAGGGTGAAGGTAGAGGACACCCTGGACAGGTCACCAGTCCATCACAGGGCCACACTTAGAGACAACCAAGCACACTCACATTCACATCTACAGACAATTTAGAATCACCAATTAACCTCAACATGTTTTTGGACGGGCTGCAAGGTGGCGCAGTTGGTCAGCACTGTTGCCTCGCAGCAAGAAGGTCGCCGGTTCGCGTCCTGGTGAGGGCACTGGAATCTTTCTGTGTGGAGTTTGCATGTTCTCCCCGTGCAGCGTGGGTTCTCTCAAGGTTCTCCCACACAGTTCAAAAACATGTTGAGGTTAACTGGTGATCCTAAATTGTCCGTAGGTGTGAATGTGAGTGTGCTTGGTTGTCTGTCTCTAAGTGGCGCCCTGTGATAGACTGGTGACCTGTCCAGAGTGTCCCCTGCCTTCACCCTAAGTCAGCTGGGATAGACTCCAGCCCTCCCGTGACCCTAGTGAGGATTAAGCGGTGTATAGATAATGGATGGATCGCACTTTTATTAGAGAGGCGTCTCATATTGTAACTGATTTTAATTTCTTTTGATCTGTCTTTTATTTCTTCCACTATGTAACTTTTTATCGCAACAGATTTTATACGCCACACTGTACTTTTATGCGTCTCCTAAATCCTGCTGATTTCAAGCGTGTTTGTTTAGTTTTGTTTCTTTGAGAAGCACTCTGTAATTTGGATTTTGAAAAGTGCTCTGTGAGGCTCAGTGGCACCTTGAACTAAAAGCTACATCATGTTGGTATGCTGATGTTTAACGTATAATGTTGGCCACCTTAGTTTAACGTTAGCTTGATTCTAACATCTAGACACGTAATGAAGAACCAGAGGATGTAAAGTTCTCGGGAATAATCTTTGAAATTTTAAAGAAAGACCATTTTTTTCAAAGTATTTCGCCACCCACTCAGGCAGCCCAGTTATTTCTGCACTTTTCTCTCATTTTTCATTTTGTGTGACAGTATGGGTTCAACCATCACCACCAACAATCAGACACAGTACATCCTTACATAATCAGGCTCTGGACAAAAAGCCTGTCCAGTGGCGCCGCTGCCACATCCTGAAAAGACATTGAGCTTTGAGCGCTTCATTCATTTTAGTTTTTTCAAATTAGTCTTCAACTGTATCAACAGTTTCGCCCTCGAGCGTCTTTCTTGCATATATCCACACACAAGACTGTAACAGTAAAACACCACATTGAAAATCTAAATTTGGGCAATCAGCGTTCCTCATGAAGGGCTGTCAATTCTGAAACATGTCACAGACTGAACTTAAATTACGTACAGACCTAAAATCTTTCAGAATAAAAATTAAGTAGGAGGAAATCAACGCTGTAGCCATTTTTAGCAAATTGTGGTGTTTTTTCTTCATGAGCATCACAATGAATGTATAGCGTTGTGAGCCTTTCCTTGTACGTACATGATTGTAGTGCATTTTAATTTTCTAAAAGTGTAAGCTGCATATTTTCATTGTACTGTGTGTGTAAAAGTCCAACTAGGTACCGGGTCGGTGCAGCACATCAGCCATGATGACTACGAGGTGTGTCAGAAAAGCTCAAGGACTGGTGTCACAAAAGATATGTTTCAAACCCAAACTACAAACTACAAGTTTTCCTCTTCAAAGTAATAACCCTGCAGCCTTCTCTGCCACGCCGCCTTGTACTCCTGGAAGGATTCTTCCGGGATCCTCCACAGCTCTGTCATCACAGCCATCTTGATGTCGTCCACGTCTTCAAAACAGGTCCCCTTGATGACCCCCTTGAGCTTGGGGAAAGGGAAAAAGCCACACAGAGCCAGGTGGGGTGAGTAGGGAGGTTGCTCCAGCACGGTGATGTTCTTCTCAGCCAGGAACTTTGGGATGCTCAGGCATTGTGAACAGGTGCGTTGTCATGGTGAAGCAGCCACGACTTGTCCTGCCACAACTCTCGCCTCTTCTCAAGCACTGAACGAAGCAAACGCTGCAGGATCTTATTGTAGACGTGCTGGTTGATCATCTGAAGGGGAAAACTCGTAGTTTGTAGTTTGGGTTTAAAATATATCTTTTGTGACACCAGTCCTGGAACGTTTCCGATACACCTCATATATAATCAAATAATGTAAATTCACACATAAACATGTGTACTGATCAGTCCACTGAATAGTTGCTGAGATATACTCGGACTGCTGAAGCTTACAGGGAATCCAAATGTTTTGGATTGTTGGGTGTTTCTGTCTCTGCCTTTGTGAAGCGCTATGAGATGACTGTTGTTGTAAGTATGCGCTATACAAATAAAATTGAATTGAATTGAATTGAATTGAATATATCTGATCAAAGTTGTGCACTGACCAACAGAACAACGTTAGCTAACACTGCGGGGCTTCTCAGGATTTTAAATACACTGAAAAAATACTTCACGACATTGAAGCAAAAACCACATGAAGGCTTTGCCATGTAACACTCCAAAACATTGATTTGCACACAAACAAGTGGCCTAAAACAAGCAAAGACAACGAAAGCGACAACCATGTTTATCTATAAGGTAACGCTGATTCTCTGACCAGTTTTATTCGTATCACTCAGCGCTACAGTAGCTCTGCTGTTGTGTAATTGGCAGGATGTGCTGCTGATCACGGTCATGTCATTAACCCTGAAGCTAAGGAATGTTACAAATGCTTTTATATCGTCTAGCTGAGGCTGAGGTCACGGGAGGCAAAGCAGGAAACACGTGGGATGATGTGTGAATTATTTCAGAGGAAGAAAGGATAGAATCTGTGCTGTTTATTTCAATCCTTTTAAGCAGAAAGTAACAGAAAGTAGCTAAAAAGTAAGATAGAATTGGATTCCTGAGCCAGAGATGTGACCTTTGAGTCACCAAATTACCACGAGGTGCCCTGAAGGAACTGCACAACTTTTACCGGTCAACTAACAAGTCTTACGAGCACAGTTCTTAACCATGACCTAAATGGCGGCATTTAAAGTGATGTAAATTTTATGATTGCTTTGTAAACAGCATTGTGGTTTTAAGAAATGATGCTGAAAGCACACAGCGGTTTATCAGGTGGACCATCAGTGACGACTCACCAGAATCCCACCAGGCCGACTTGAATAGGTGCACTCATCCATGGGAACTTCTGAAAAGACCAGGCAGAGAAAAAAAGAGAAAAAAAAAAGAAGAAGAAAAGAATGAGGGGCACAAAAGCAGTGGTGAATTCCCATACTGGAGTGGCCTCATGTCGTCAGGGCTTTTCATTCCTCTGATGTGTGATTACTAAAAAGGAGCCACGTAGTTCCCACCGTTAAGATCACGATATTTAAAAATCATTTGCAAAAAAATGCAAAAAAAAAAGCATTTCTCAGTTTGCTCAGTTTGTGTCTTAAAGGATAAAGCTGATATAGAAACATGCCTACCTTCAGAAAGGCCTTCTTTTCCAAATGGTTCATTAAAAATGGTGGAATAGCTGAAAAGACATCAAAACGAACACATTTTAACTAAAGCTTTTCATAAAATGATGGCATCTGCTGCCAGATATGGACAATAAATCTCACAGTGTAATTAAATTGACGATACGTAGACATTCATACCCATTCCTGGAGAAGCCATGAGGATCCTGGAGACCACAACCTGAGAGATTGCCTGCTGTGCAGCTTTCGTCGACTCTCCTAACCTGTTGTCGTTTTCATCTGTTATGGGAATACCATGTTGAAGTTCTCTGAGGGAGAAGGAGAACAGCAAGTTAAACTGGGAAATATGTGTATTTTACAATGTGTGTATGTGATTGCTGACAGCTGAAATAAGTATTTCTAGAAATGCTGGAAGCTGAAACACATTGAAAAAACCGAGAGCTGCTAAAGTGCATCACAGAAAGGATGTGTGTCGTTTAAATTACTGCTACAAATTCTATGTCAGGAAACACGTAAGAAATATAACAATTTAAATTGTGGTTTGTTGACAAAAAAGGAGTTGAGATGTCATTTGAAGTGGACCAGCTTTTAGAAATGTAAGCATCAATTGAGGGGTAAAACGTGAAAGTATGAAGGAAGTTAAAGTAAAAGTAAGAAGAGACAAGGTGATAAAAAGAGGAAGCACGAGAGAAAAGAGGAGGTGGAGATGACATTTAAGCTATTTTAAGCTTTGGACTTTTAATTTGCTACAAAGATGTTTATTTAAATGACTCCTGCAAACGGTCTTACTTGCAGACTGACATTTATTTACAAAAAAAATGCACATACATTACCAGGTTCATTTAGTAATGTGACCTGCTGATTGTGTTCATTTAGAAACGTATGCATTCATGCTGTGTGGATTCTGTGATGCTGACTCTACTTATATCACAGGTTTGGACTAAATTTATCATGGACATTTGTTTCACCTTCGCTATGTTAGTGTATTCTGAGCAGTTTGTGTATTTTGTGTAGTTTCTTCATTGTACTCGCAGGTTCGTCTACATATGTAATCTGTACATTTCTGAGAATGCAGTTTTGGTCTTTTGAGGTTTTAAGCATTCACAACCTAGTATTTAACATATTCTATGTAAACAGTTTTGGAATATATTTATGATTCTTACTTTCTGTATGATATTAAAACTACCATTTAGTGGAATGATGTTTATTAATTCATTCCACTCCAAACTAAAGATGTCTTTGTACCAAAGCATTTGCCTGATGAAGGCTAAGAAACAAAACACCATAAATGAATTAATGCATTTTTGCAAGTTAGAGTCTTTAACTTTTGAAAATACATTCATTTTCTATGCTTCTGTCTCATGACATAGATGTTACAGTATTATTATTATTATTATTATTGTACCAAGACTGTCAAGACAAAATGAATGTAGTGTTACAGTGCTGGACATCATCCTCATGCAGGCCCAGAGACTGTCCTACAGTTCTCCAATATGACAGCACGTAAATAATCATGAGTAATTTGGGTAATATTGTAGATTGATTATATTGACTGAACCTTAAAGCTTCCAAGTGTCTCTATAGGTATGATAGAAATATTATACAAGACATAAAATGATAAGTCTATTATCTATTATCAACATCTTTTGTCATAAATTCATAATAAATAAATAAATATTGCACGTACGCCTAAAGATTTTTTTTTTTTTTCCATCTCAAGTAACATGTACAACTAATATGTGGTATTTTGGTCGTTCTTGTCGTTCTTCACGTGTCTCTATATGTGTGCAAAGATCAGAATTTACAACTGAAAAAGGTTAAAGTTTGCATCCAGGTTAACAAGAGAGTACTGAGAGAAAGTTCTTAACGGCAATAAATTAGGAACGGAGGCAGAAATTATGAGTCTTATCAGTTTTTTTTTTCCCCCCGTGAGCACTAAGAGACCGACAGAGTTGTGCCATGAAAAGTTGCCGTCAGTCGAGCAATGCTGGCTCAACACGATTGTTTTTGCATTGTACAGTACAGCAAGATAAAGCTGATAGCTGCTTTATATTTACTATAGCTTCTTCACACAAAAAAAGAGGCCAGTTAGCCATAGGAAAGCTTGTACTGTGAAGCAGCAACAGCATGGAATGTTGCAGAGTGGCTCAGCGTGGCTGTCCTCTGCTGGGAGGCTGCAGTGGAATCACTAAATGAGGGAGTTGAAGGGCTCTCTTGTTGCTTTGGGGAGAGTCCTATTATTTAAATAGCTACGAAGTGTGAAGAGGACACTGTAATGTATGCATTCTGTACAAGAAGTCAAAGATGTGGGAGTAAAACAGCTCACATGTCATCAAATGTTTGAAAAAGCAGAACAGCAGAGGAGGATCCAAGGTCACGTGTAACAGACATCAGTAATGAAATCACAAAAAATTTTTTAAAAAAAAGCATTTAAAAATATGAGAATAGGTATACAAAGACCAATAAAAATTCTGAAGATGTCACAGATTAAAGACAGGGTAAGGTCAAAACGATGCCTGTAGCTGAAAACTGACTTAATCTATACGTTAATTAAAGCTTCTAATAGGAATGAATTAAAACTGTTGGGTTCCAGGAGCAGTTTCATCACTGTCGTAGTCATGCATGCTCAAGGTCAACCCCAAAACGAGCACTGCGTGTCCTCCTTACCTTTGTCTCATCAGCGGGATGTTGATACAGTTAGCAGCAGCGACAGCAGCAAATGGAACAAACCGTCCAATCAGAGGTGAAACATGCTACAGCAGGAGAGAGGAGGCATAAAAACAGGAGGGAAGAAATGAATCAGTGTTGCAAAAAAGTAAAACCATTTCAACTGTGCAGACCAGTGGAAGTCTGCAGTTGCTGCCCGTTATATTTCAGATGCTGGACATGGAGGCTTTTCTGCCATAAAAGAAGCTCTAAAGCACAAAGTTGATTTCAAAGCTGGCACGACAGCATGCTGACTACTGAGCATGACCCTGTAAATAACATGGTTCCTCTATGACAAAGAGACTGTTTATGCGTGGCTAACTTCCTGTCAGCACACTCATGCATCAGAGGTCAATACATTAAAATGAGATGTAGAATGGGGTTAGATGAACTGATACCTTTGTTAGTGCATTTAGTCCTAGAGCGGTGGCAACTGCCCCTGTGGTGGCAGACACATAAGCTGTGCCAAGCTGACTGCAAACAAAAGAGTCACCGGTCACGTCACACACACACAAAAAAAAACTGTCCACACAAGAAGTGTTGAATTAAAGGGTTAATATGTGCCTGCGTCGGTGCCAGAACGTCGGTCTCTTACTTGACTGTGATTGGAGCGTCGCCGCTCCTGTTGGTATAATTCACTATTGCATTGAAGGACTGATTGATCCACTGCCAGAGTACCACAGCCGGAGTTGTCCTGCAAGTTTGACAACAAAAGGTCATAAACAAGCCCAGCGGAAACACCACAACAGAAGAATTTATGAAAACGCTTTACTGTGCAACTGAGGGTTGGATTTTCCAGCCGCTAAGTTTTAGTGAGATAGAATCAGAACAGACTTCATGATAAAGTGTTCAACCTTCTGAACCCTAAAACTCACTGGTGGGTTTAAAAAGCATGTTTTCTTTTAAGAGAGTGCCACAGTGACACATCATAAGAACCAAACACTGTGAAAACAAAAAGAGTGATCAGATTATCTACTTTCTGACGGTCCTTGAACTAATCATCTGTGACGCTCTGGTCCACCTGGAAAATAATCAAATCTAAGCTTAAAATTGTGACATTTCATCAAAATCACTTTATTCCAAATGTCCTATTTATCCTCTAAGACCTGGTGTCTACAAGCATGGACATCACATTTTAGGATTACCAGATTAGCTAATTTGTGTTTTTTTTTTTTATTATTCATTCATTCATTCATTCATTTATTTATTTATTTATTTATTTTCTTTATATTTTTATTTCTCTTTGCTATTTGATCTGATCAAATAGCAAAGAGAAATTTAAACAAAAAAAGGCTTATCAAACAACAACTCGGGTCTTAAGAGGATAAAAATGTATCACAAACAGCCATTTGCTCGAACCTGATTCAACAAAAAACTTCAAAAATTCTGCCTTTCTTGCTACAAACCCTGAAATAAGAAAAGTTATAATTGTGATCAACAGTCATGTGACAAAAAATGTGAGATTTCTTAGCTGACTTGCAGACTGCTCACACAAAGCAGTCTGCAAGGGTTATAGGGTTAGGCGTCAAAAATGGAAACAAATAAAAAATGTAAGGAGTCAAACATCCATCGTATGTAGAGCCTCCATTTTCCCAGTTTTGGTTACACACTTTGAAAAATGTTGGACATGTTGATTCAAAGTTTTTATAATTTTTTGCCAAGTAAATAATTAAAGAAATATAACTATTGGTTCGTCTTTTTTGTTATGTATGGTGTTACAATCATAGCAAACTCCTCCGAAGACCTTTTTAAAGTTCTTTCTACATCTCGCCATTGTTGTGTTGCTTCCATCAAGATGCAGGGATTTATACTGTGACAGATGTTTACTGGACTAAATTATTATTGAAACAATTATTTTCCTTGCCAGCTATCACCGGTCAGTATTAACAGATAATACATGTTCTGGTTTTCAAGCAAAGGTTTCACTAAAACCATTAGCAATGGCTCTGTTCTTTTCATGTGTCCCAGTAAGCCATGACAGTGACAGGGAGCCAGCATGCACAATACCAGCACAGCACCCTGAAACTGAAGCAGTGTGCTGTGAAAGGCTGTAGCAGCAGCAGGGAGGCATTAATAGCTGCTGCCTGTGTTAAGCTTAAGCTCGGCTGTAAGAGTCACAGCTTGATAATAAAAGTGTCTCAAACAAGTTCGTACTTGTAAAACGTCATCATGCAGCCGGTGATCGTCATGTTCATTGGAACCTGCGCTGACATGCGGCCGATCAGGATCATCTTCTCTCCAGTATCGGGATGGAAAGCCGAGTCAAAAACATATTTGGCCCTCCACAGTTCATCCTCCGTCAGCCCCGGAGAGACGACACCTTGCCTGCAAGACAGAAAACGCAACACGTGAAGCAAGCTTCAGACTTGATAAAATACTGGATTGACCTGCGGTCACTGGTTTACCTGTAATCGGTGATGATTTTGTGTGCGTGTGCTAGTTGTTCATTGGTGAGCAGGACGTTCCTGGGGTCTGTGACAGTGAAGAAATGTTTAGCCCGACCTACGAATGTGCTCTGGTCCCACCGGGGCTCCTTGATGTTTATGGAAGTGGATAGCTCTGCTGCCATGTTTATCTGGGGAGAGAAAAGGTTACAATAATCACGTCAGGTTGAAGCATTTTCAGTAACCTTGTTCTGGATTGAATACATGGAAGCAGTGATGACAGTCTGAGACAAACATCCACCCATCCATTATCGATACACCACTTAATCCTCACTGGGGTCACGGAGGGGCTGGAGTCTATCCCAGCTGACTCAGGGTGAAGGCAGGGGACACCCTGGACAGGTCACCAGTCTATCACAGGGCTACACTTAGAGACAACCAAGCACACTCACATTCACACCTACGGACAATTTAGAATCACCAATTAACCTCAACATGTTTTTGGACCTTGTGGGAAGAAGCCGGAGAACCCAGAGAGAACCCAAGCTGCACGGGGACAACATGCAAACTCCATGTAGTAAGATCCCAGGCGACCTTACCAGGACGCGAACCGGGCTGCGAGGCAACGGTGCTAACCACCGAACCACCATGCAGTCCTGAGACAAACATGATGGACTTAAAGCACAAGTTCTCCACACTAGAAGTTAGAAGACTTGTATTCAGCTGACTGATGCTGGTTCAGGAGTTCAGCGCCCTGCTCCAGCACTCACCCAAAGAGTTACATCCCTTCAGTCCTGGTGTCTTTCACAGACACAAGCCAGTGAATAACAAAGCTCCGTTCTCCATTGCCATGCTGCTAATTCAGCATAATGTTGCTATGGCGATGGCTGGCCTGACACGAGGGTTGTGAAGCGCTAAATTGCAAAGCCCCTATTATGGGCACACACCAAACCCCAAACTGTGTCTGAAAAGCAGTTCTTGGAAGGGGACAAAGCTCTCAGCGTGTTTACACTGTGAATGGCTAAAGAGCCGAAGAAGTATTTTTCTTATTAACAAATTAGGTGAGCAAAGCACACAAGATAATGTAATATGTGGCTTTTGTGAACACTAGTGATTCAATTCTAGCATACTTATTTATTTACTTGGCCTGATGGTTCGTATTGATCGGTTACATGATTTCACTCAGTTTTCTCTTTTGCTCTCCTGCTATTACAGCTCCTTTTTTTCCCTCCAATCTGGTCACATTGTATCTCAGCCATCCTGTTAATGTGATTATCTTCACGTTTTAATCCTTGTCATTTGGTATTACATGGTATTATAGCGTTGTCCTCTCTGCCTCTGTACCTCTCTGCAGGTGTTTCTGGTTCTGGAGCTGAACAGGTCTGATCTGCTCCTGGTTCTGTCCAGTGTTTGTGCTCGTTAGTTTGTTGTCTGTTTGTTTCTTCTATTATTTCATTGCTACCCTTTACCTCGCCCCAACTGGTCGAGGCAGACAGCTCACCTCCCTGAGCCTGGTTCTGCTAGAGGTCTCGTTTTACTCAAAGGGAGTCCATCCTCTGCACTGCTTGCTCGTAGGGAATCCTTGGATGTATTAATCATAATCCATGTATATTTTTTGTTGGGTCAGAACTTTAGTTTTAAATTATTCAGGTAGACTCTTAGCCTTAATATTTAACTTAGTGAAGCAAAGTTTTATCTTATTATGTAGGGTTTTAATTGTAATATAGAAATGACTTTGTTAAATTCACATCATACGTAACACTGTGGCATCTTAACTATTAATTTTTAAACTTGATAACTACATCTTATTATTCTACTGTTTCACAAGTCCACTCTGGCACTTCACATTTAAAGGCCAAAACCTTACAATGTTATATTATAAAGACAAACCTATTCATTCCCTCAGAGCAAGCCCTTGGCCACACTGAGAAGAACAACAAATTCACCCATAACAGGAAGAAATATTCCATTAAAACTTCATGCATGTGTTATTCCACAGTCTGAAACCAGATTACACTGGCTGGCACTACCCAACACACCAGCGTTGAGGATGTGCATACAGCATTGTTCCCAGTGTGTGGGTCCCTGTAACCCAGTCTGATCTGGTTTTTAACCATTTGTTCTTTGCTCTACATAGACAGTAGCTGCTGCTGCTGCTGCTGCTGAGGACAGGGACAAAGTGCAGAGAGGACATGCAGCAACATACCTGGAGCTGCACAGAAGATGGCTGCTGGATTGATGGACGAAACTCTGTTTTTTTTTTCTTCTTAGCTGTCGGCTGTGTAGTAGCTGCAGAACTGGCGTGCGGTCTCTTTAAATTGAATTAAACTCAATGGGGTTCTCACGAGATGGCAACAAAAACACCCCCCTTCTCTGAGCCTGTCCAATAAATCAGTTGCACAGGAGGTTGCAGGGCACTTCTTGCAGCCACCACCCCTGCTGATTGCACTAATATTGGGGGCTAAATCGCTAATGAATGTGGCCGAACTTTGGACTGACCCGGCCTTTGATCTATAAACCCTCGGCTGCATCTGCCCTCACTCTCAGCCAATCAACGGCGGCCTGCGTGGCTACACATTAACCTGCAATTCATAACAACTCCTCACAATTAAAAGATAAAAAATAAAACCTGCACAAAGCATCTGATGGCCGTGATTTCTGTTCAACCTGACACCCATGGCACGCCGCTCTGCTGTGTGTGATCGCAGGGTAAACATGCTCTGTGAATGGATACGGTGTATTGTCCAACCCGACTTGGACCAGTCAAATCTGGACTGTAACTGGAGGTGTTTGTGCGCCTGATTGCATAAATGAAGAACTCAACCGAGGATTGAAAATGCAAGTATCACTATTTCTCTCTCTTCTTTTTGTTAAACGACTAAAATCATCTGTCCACAATCATCCAGCTGTGCGCCCCAGATTCAACTAGTATCAGCCTGCCACATCCACACATGCAGCAGGCTTCTCCAGGAGTCTTGCACACCGTTTCTCCCTCTCCCCCTGATCTGACACCCAAAGCTCTCTGGGATCTGCGTGGATCGTGAGAGAGAAAACAGAAAAGAAAATGCACGTCCAGGTTACTTACTGCACTGTGGGCTCCGGCGGTCCGCAAGAGGGTGTCCCTGAAAGGCTGCAGCCAGCTAATTTTTCATGCAGCAGCAGCAGCAGCGTCAGCACAGCCAGAGAGCGCACAGAGGCACATCCCCCAGTGTCAGGAGGCTCGCCGAGAGAGTAAAAGTCCTACCGAGGCTCACGCTGCAAAACACAACCTCACAATGACAAATGAGCGTTAAAAAAACAAAAAAAGGATGCGTCGTGAACATGCACAGTAATGCACTGCTCGGTTTTAAAAAAGCAGCAGAATCTTAAATCAGCACCCAATGTGAGAAAATGAGCCTCGGTCCACTCGCTCCTTTAAAGTCATGCCTTTATTTTCTGCAGCCAACATCCTTCAGTGCTCGGTGCATTGTCGCTGACTTGATCTACAGTCAGTAAATCATTAATATCTGGTAAAACTTTGTAGGATTTCTCAGCAACACACGACTGTAGCATCTTATGAGAAAGGGGGAAAAAAATCAAGAGTTCTTTGGTTCACATTAGATTAATAATAAAAATAAATACATGACAAAAATGAAGCTAAATTAAAAAACGTATGGCTTTGGAGTGCCACAGTGCAAACAAACAGTCTTCTTTTCATCTCTGGAAAGACATATTGAAAAATGGAATCAAATGTAAACATAAAATAAAAATAGCTCCCTGCTCACATTCACAGTGAGGCTGATTGTCACTGAGCTGTTCATCTGATCAGACCTGATCATCAGCACAGATGTCGGGTGTCTGTGTCCATCTAGTGGTGATTGGTGAGAGCAGTGGGGGAATAACAAACCGTCCTTATGGGAAATAAATGACGAAGCAACTTCAGTCTTTATTTTGTACAGCTGCATCTGCAAAAACAATGAGTTATTTCTTTTACATCTGATGTCAGTTTGACCAGTATTGCCTACTTAAATGAATTACATTAACTCCCATAAGAGAAGGCAGAAAAACGAGCTACTTTCACTATAACAGGGTATAAAAAGAACATAGTCTGTCAGTGCCATGTGATACAAATCAAATACAAAAGTGCAAAGAGGACATTTCTGACGTTTAACCCTATCATCTCACTTCACAAAATAAATAACAGTTGCGCTTCAGTTACAAAAAAAGAAGAGTTCACATTATATGTACTGCAACCTTTGCTCTGAGGCCATGCCAAGTGAAAGATGCAGCCTATATACTTTATATGGCAACACACTCTGGTCATCATTAACACCCTAATACAAAGATTACTAACATTTAGTCATTATTCTCAGCATTAGTTCATTGCCTGACAGACCAGCAGGTATTACAACAGTATTGTTCATAGTAGCAATCATTTTTAGCAATTAAAACATCATGCACAGAGAGAAAAAAGTTGAAAGGACGGTGGTGTTTAGCTAGATGTGACAGTTTCCATTTTATTGTGATTATGGCACACAATTTTGGGGGTTTGAATGCTTATTTTCTCAAGCCTCTGTGCAGCCTGTTAACATCCTCACTGGTGATCTTTACAGGAAATAGTCCGGCGTACGCCGCGTCACATGGGGCTCTCCTCTGCGTGGTGCAGGGTCAAACTGTAGGCTGCAAAAAAACAAAGGGGAGTAGCCACTCATCAACCCACATTCTGGATAATTAGGATAATTTGTAATTAGGATAATTAATAAAATGATTCTTTAAAAATAATATCAAATTATGATAAGTATTTCAAACAAAAGTGTCTGAAAGGGTAGGAATAATAGACTTTATTATAAATATATAGAGAAAAAAACTTTACTTACAAGGAGTATTTCAATGTGTCGTCAAGTTCCATGATTGCTGCCTGATTTCCGCAACGATAACAGTAGTTTGGTGCACTGAAAATTGTCACTACATTGCGATCGTGGCACCAATTATAGCCCTATATCAAGAGATTAGTTGCATGTTACCAGTTTTAAAGTCACATGTCAAAGCTACAGCTGCAGCTTCACAAACAGGAAAACAGAATTACTTTCAGCAGGTAAACAACATCAGAGTACCTCCATCACCAGCTGGTGGGCTCTTGAAACCAAAGTTAAGCCGTTTGCGTGGTTGAAAGTCTCGGAAATGTCCTGCCCAAACGTGTAACCAGCACCACGTGGAGAGATGCCCCAGCCACCACGGTCATCTGGGTCTGACCATAACAAGTCACACATTGGACCCTAAAACATCGAGGAAACATTAGTGCTGTTTAATTTATCGTACAGTTCATGCAAGTGCCACTTCTATTCCACACGAAGAGGTTAAAGTTTTAGCATACTGTATATTAGCTAGAGGCATTATAATGTATTTCCTTTCATGTGCATTTTGGTAGAATCAATAAAAGTAATCCTGCATCTACATAGATTACAGCAAAGCATTTTACCCGAATATTTCCTAAAATTGATCTCTAAACATCCATCACTTATGAGAAAAAAAACCAAAACTGTCAAATATCTAAATGTTTTGAATTTTTATAAACTGTGTGCACCTCATGAGGAACCTCTTGCAAGCGATCCAGCGCTCTGATGTGTTCCAGTGTGTCTATTGAAGGTGATAATCCTCCATGGAGGCAGAAAATCTAAAAAAGAAAAAAAAATATGGGGAGAAAATAAATGAAAGAGTTCTTGAATCTGTGCTTTATGTCACATTTGACATCTGGGGACCCAACCTTACCTGATTATCCACCAGCGCCGTAAGGGGCAGATAGTCAAACAGGTCTGTGAAGTACTTCCAAACATTGGCATTCCCATATTTCCTTAAGCACTCGTCATAAAAACCGTACACTTGTGTGATCTGTCTGCTCTCGTGGTTCCCTCTGAGAATTGTGATTCGTTCGCGAAACCTTACCTACAAAGAAAAACGTATTGAGAAACAAAATGCAACAATAATCCTCCTCTTCAAGGTCATCTGTTATGTTATCACACCATCAGCGTCAAGGTGTCACTTTTTTTTTTTTTTACCTTAAGAGAAACCAGGAGTGTGACTGTCTCTACAGAATAGTAGCCTCTGTCAACATAATCTCCCATGAAGAGGTAGTTAGTGTCTGGAGACTTTCCCCCAATCTTAAACAGCTCCATGAGGTCATGAAACTGTCCATGGACATCTCCGCAGACCGTCACTGGACATCTCACCTCTTGTACATTGGACTCTTTTGTCAAAATCTCCTTGGCCTAGAGCAGGGAACCAAGAAAACACAAGAAGATGCTGGTTAACAGGTTTAACAGAGTGTGGTGCAGAGTGGGAGTGCACAGTGGGCAGGTACTGTAAACAAATCGTACTCAAGGCAAACACCTTTCATATTATGCAGCATACAGAAGGTGATCATACAGTTTGCTGTGCTTGTGGCAGTGCTCTCCTGTGGTGAAGAGGTACCAACAGTGGGCGTAGCTTGGGAAAACATATTTGCAGGCATGCCCCTCCATCTTCTTGGCCAGTGCTTTCCCTCAGAAATGTACTGCATGCAGCTGCAGTCAAATGGTGTGCTCCAAAGCGAGGCCATATGCAATAGCTGAGAAATATTTCTACTGTTCAGGCGATGTTAGCATGTGACGGTCCGCTAGCACTGTATGAAGCTAATGCATGGTGCTGAACAACTCGCCTGCGCCAGCCTTACCTTTTCGCAGAGGACTTTGACCTGATTCTCTGAGAGCTGCCTGCACTCATTCAGTTGTTCAATCCATCCGTCCAACTCCTTGGTGAATGACTTGTCGTCCATGCCTGGTTTGCCGTCAGCTAGCGAGCCAAGCAGCTTTTGGGAGGGAAAAAAAAACAAAACACCTCCGGAAAAATCTCTGGCTATTTCGTTACGTTTCGGTGTCCCGGCTACGCTACGTCCTAGCAGGCTGTGTGGTCACAAGCACCGAGTGTGTGTGTGTGTGTGTGTGTGCGTGCGTGTATGTGTGTGTGTGCAGAGGGAAAACCAATGCGCCAACTGTCCTGCGTCCCTGCAGTTTGGTGGCGACAAAAAGTATTTAATTCACATGAGGCAGAAAATCTTCTGGTGGCACCAACAAGGTCACTCCGTTAGCCGTTAGCATCTCACGCACGTATGAAGTAGCTCAAGTAGCTAATCAACAAATCATATTGAACACTACGTCATCGCATCCGGAGCGGGCATTTCAAGGTGGATTTTTATTTTTTTAATGTCAATTTTATTTCTTTCTAGCAGCGCAATAATGATAGTTTAAGTGTTTATTTTAACAGTCTGTTAAGGTTTCTACCTGAGTGTTATTTAAAAGTTGAACAGGCTGACCTGCCACCTGCTGGAGGAAACCGGTGGGAACAGAACCAACGGCTGAGCAGTGAACCCCCCAATAGTCCGTTACAGGTTAGCTAGCTGCTCACTGACTGCACTTCACTAATACCCCACCTGACTCCCAGAAACCTTAAAACAAAGGTGCTAACAGTTAGTAAAATAACATTTAACACAAAACACTTGGGACAGGCCATAAAGGGGCTGGAAATTGCGCTTGACAAGCATTAACTGATGCTTTGTGTTGTGTTAGGTGTCAGTTTTTATCAGGTGTATTTTAGTAGGTTAAGCACAGCTGAAGTTAGTATAATGCTGTCAGCAAATAGAGGATCTTTGATTTAAATGTACATTTAAATGCTAGTCAGTACTAACACAGTGGTATACTCGAACTGTAAGATGTTATTATTTAACGGATTGAAGTGATTAGAACAATTCATAGCATTAATAAATGATAGGCTGACAGTAATCACCCAAATGATCGAATACTAGTGACATGGCAACCTAGAGAAATGCCACAAGTGTGGCTAAAACATATCATGCAATATATTGTTATATTATGTGCAAACAATACCTGTAATTTTGACGCAATATCTAAAGTAAACGTATATTCTGTTTTTTAAAAATTAACTTGTTCTATCAAGAAGGAAATACCTATCTAATTGAACTACAAGCAGTATAATCGTTTCAAATGAAGCACTTTATTTGAACAGGTTTTTGATAGCATTTTGCCACTTGACAGACAATAATTAGAGCTTTCAAGCACTTTCTAACATATATAGTTTATTTAAGGTAGGCGACTGTCAAAATGCGCTGCACACGAAAAACTACATTACCCACAACTCGATGCCTTCCGTTCAAATACACATGCGCAGTCCGTTGTTCTACTCTGGACAGCTGTAGGAGAAAATGGCAGCATTCATGCTAGGACAGCAGGTAAGACATTGAATTGTATTTGCTGATTTTATCCATCCCTTAACAGATATCACCGATATTTTCATTGCTTAAAAACTTGTATTAAGTATGGTACTCGTTCTGATGATCAGAAAGTTACGCTAAATGTACAACAAATTCGCACGAGGCATTGCACTTGAATGACTGCTAACGGGTTAGCCTACTAGCTAACTGTCTTTAACGTCATTGGCACAAAGCGTGCCAGAAGTACATCAGCTCAAGTTTTAGTGTGTCTGTTTTTTAAATTAAAATAAATCCTTTCTGTTTTAGGCCCGCCAGTTCAGCACGTCTGTGGTCAGACCTGTATCAAAACTGGTGAAGGTAATTAACTTCAAAATGCGCAGAGTACAACCGTACATCAACGGATTGCAACAGGATTTGCAGTTGTTTAGTTCAATGCATTTACTTTTTATCTTTTTGCATGTCTTTTTAGCCTCCAATCCAGGTTTATGGAGTCGAGGGCCGTTATGCCACTGCTCTGTTCTCAGCTGCCAGTAAGCAGAAAAAACTGGACCAAGTGGAGCAGGAGTTGGGGAAAGTGTCTGTAAGTCAACAACGCTTTTGGCAGTAGATGACAATGTTGAATGAACGTAATGTTTTGATTAATATTTCACATCAAGATGAGGTGGATACTGTTGTTTAATATTTCATTGACATTATAATATGTCTAAATATTGTATGTCTGAAAAATTAAAGATTGGATTAGTACCACATTTTGACAATCTACTTTCCTCTCTTCGAGTACATACATTTAGTTGGTGTTTGCTGTGTGCCCTCTTGTTTTCCAGGCCCTGATTAAAGACCCCAAAATTTCTGGTGTTGTGATGAACCCTCATGTAAAGCGCAGCCTCAAGCTGAAAGCCTTCAACGACGTTCTTACAAAGGCTAAGGTTTCACCCATCACCATCAACCTCATCAGTGAGTGATTATTACATTTGCTGAGTGACCCCATCGCTCCTTTGCGTTTGACCTCTGTGTTAGCATGGTGGTGTCTTAATATTGGCTAAGTAGATCATAGTTGGTTCTATAAATCTATGAGTAGGAGAGTTTGTCATGGTGCATGTCGTGGTAAAAACAAAATACAACATTTTTCAGTTACATGTGTTAGCATGGTGAATAATATGATAATAACACAGTAATCATACATGCACACACCAAATACAATGGAACTTCACAACACAGCTAGTACTAAAAACAGGTGAGGAACATACATTACATGCTATTGTTTTCTCCAGTTTGCTCATAGCATGCAAATTAGGTTTTGACCAGTATGTTTTTTTCAGGGCCAATAGCCATTATTGGTGAGCTGGGAAACTGGTATCTGATATTTATTTGAAAATGATATGCATTCACAGCAAACTGCAGAATCAGTGTCAAGATTGGTGTCAAAATTTATAGTACGAACTTCAGCAAAGCTATTCTTTATGACATGTCAGACAGTACTGTGGGTGGGATACTGCTCTAATCCACAGAGTGCCTACAGATATGTCTGCATTATTATGTTATTACATTGGAAATCAGTTGTAAAAAGCAATAATATTTACAACCAGAAAATTGTAAATATTGGATCTACTAAAATGCCAAAATGATAGTCGTTCAACTCTGAATGCAGATTTTTCTCATTTCACAGTTTTGTTCATTCTCCCGAGTAGCATGCAGTTGTATCATGAGACTACATAAACATGCAATGTTTTGAAATTTCTTCGTAAATGTAATTATAGCAAGTTTGATTCTCTTGTTTCAATCAGGTGTATTTTTATGGTTGATGCTGAGTTGAACAGACTTGGTAGAGCAGTATACACAAACCCTTTTCTTTTACTAAAAGTAGAAGTCAGAATCTAAATAACAAATAAACATCTTCTGCAATCTAATTAAGAAAACTGTTTTTACCTCATTTGTTTTTTTCTGGCTAAAGAGCTAAGAGTTCTTATTCACAGTGACTTCAATAGCATTATACAGCTGCATTGCACTTTTGTTGTCCTCAAATATTTATGGACTTTACAGCTGGCCAGTTGTAAACTCCCAGTGCATTTCTGACAAACCATATGGTTTGGTCAACATTGGAAAGCTGCATTGGTATTGATCCCAAGATAAATAAATGTTGAAGTGTTTATATCACAACTTGACATTTAACTGAAAAAAGCTACACAGAAGAACCAGTTACATGAAATCAGATATCTATTGACTTAGAACTGATTAAACAGAATAGTCACACTTTTGTCTGCATTTTCAGTTGATAATTTAGACAAACAAAAAAGTGGTGAATCTTGCACAAACATATCTTCTTTTTTCTTTATCAGATGTTTTGGCTGACAATGGTCGTCTCACTCTAACTGGTGATGTTATCAGTGCTTTTGGAAAGATGATGAGTGCACACCGTGGAGAGGTCATCTGCTCAGTCACCACTGCTCAGGTATAAAATGGGTAGACATGCAAGATATAGTCCAATACGTCAAAACTGGTCTCCTTATATCAGCAGTTCATATTGCTGTTTATATCAGCCAAGTTATTCATTGCAGTATTTTTTTTGTAGAGGTAGTGAACAATCACTCAATGAATGTTTATCTATTTCAGCCTTTGGATGGAGCTAGTCTGGCTGACCTGAAAGTAGCTCTTAACGGCTTTCTTCAAAAGGGTGAAACTATCAAGCTGGAAACAAAGGTACAGTTCTAATGCATGATCTCAGAAACCTACAAATAACCATTTTGCAGTTGCACTTTATTTTAATCTTAGCCTGGTGCCAATGTGATGAATTGCATTAATATAATGAATTTTGACTCCACTTTAATTTCAATTTGTCTCGTCTTTACAGTCAGATCCTTCAATCCTGGGTGGCATGATCGTCAGTATCGGAGACAAGTATGTGGACATGTCCACCAAAACAAAGATCCAGAAGCTGACCAAGCTCATCAAGGAAGCTTAAGTCCTGTGGACTTAATTTTGAAAACACGACCATCGGGCTTATAAATGTATATTGCTACCTGCTCTGGCACTGTGGTTGCTCCATAAATCCAGTGTTTGTGCTCAAGTTCATATAGATGTTAATAAAAACTACAAAAATTGAGAAATGAGTTTGTTGTCATTTATGGCTGGTGTCACTGTGCCACTTGCATGAACATATTTCCTATTGATGGTCACTAATAACGCAGTATAGACACATTAGCACATTATCAGCATAAGTAGTGAATAGATTGTTGTGATTAGCTGCTCCATACTATGTGTATAGTTGCTGTAGTCCTTTCACTTTAGAAATACGGTTCCATTGTAACCAGAGGTCCACGCTTCATTATCAGGCTCTTTGTTTCATATGATCTTAATTTTGTTGAACCTCATTGCGTCACGTTGCTCTGCTTCGACGTTTCCTGGAAGCTTTTTGTGCGCATGCGTGGTAGGCGCTTACTGTTTTATTAATTTTTTTTTTCGGGCGAAAATGGCTGCCACTCTCAGCTAAACCTCTGCGTAAAGGATTAACTGTGCATGAAATAGGCAGCAGAAATCACAGCCGCGCTTCACGACAACAGTCGCAGACGGCAGGGCGCAGTTTGTGCAGCGCCTTCACAAAGATGTTGTGGCTGCCAGAGAAGGGAAATGGATACGATTCGAAATTAACCCTTCCCAGTCCAGCATCCAACAACAAATGAGGTACGAACTGTTCATTTTACGTTTTTAAAATAGTGCAGCATTGGTCAGCAGTAACCATTTAGATAAGATTTTGTGCATATCGTATTATTAGATTATAATAACTGTATTCCAACTCGCTTTTTCTTGTCCTCACTTTCGTTTTCTGTTGCAACGCTAAAAGGCCTGTTTGCTCCACAAAAAGTAAGCTACTAAAACTGCCTCTCTGAGTGTATGTTTATCAGGGTGTTCGTTGCATTTCTATCTAATATTTCTATTTCTCTACACTCCAACAGAAAATGATGCATCAAGTGACCAGCAGCGGCAGTGACTATTGTATGAGTGGACTGGCAGAGGACTGTCATCCTGCCAGCCACTTTGATTTATGTAGCACACAATCCCACAAATTCTACCCCTCTCCGACAAACCCTGGTTTGCAGCTGTCCCTTGCCGGCCTTGCCCCTTTGCCACAGGGAATGCACAAAGCCGTGGCGTGTCAATTGCAGGACGCCCAGAGTGACTTCCAGCCACAGACAGTGAGAATCAGGGGCAGTGAGGCTCCAGGGCCTGACGGCTCTAAGAAAAAGAAGGGCATAGTGAAATCAGGGCGGAGAGGGAGGCCATCAGGGACCACAAAGTCAGCTGGGTACCGTACGAGTACTGGACGTCCTCTTGGGACAACTAGAGCTGCTGGCTTCAAAACCAGCCCGGGGAGGCCCCTCGGAACCACCAAAGCAGCAGGATATAAGGTGAGCCCTGGCAGGCCCCCCGGCAGCATCAAGAGTCTCTCTCGGCTCAAGAAACTAGAGTTTGGTTGTGACAGCAACAAGAAACTTGACTTTAACAACTGCAGCGTTCCCAAGAAACTGGACTTCACTAGCTGTGACGTTCCACCTTTTCCGTACACCATGATGGAGAAAAGAGACCTCTGTGAGCCCAGTGGCAAAGTGGATGAAACCAGCGAATAGCTCTGCAGCAGACTCCCCAGTGTTTGGAAAAACATTTGGCTGCATGAGCAGGAGGGTGCGGAGGAAAACATTTCTCAAATGTTGACAGAACTTTTTTTTTTTTCTATTTAGAATGGCACCGTCTGACTTTTCACTGTACAGTGTTTGACACTGTCGTCATCCTCTCATAAGAAACAACAAAATTAAAAGGATGGTTTGGCAGAGATGCATGCATATAAGTTAACCATACCAGTCAAAAGTATTCAAAATGTGTTTTTATCAGTTTGTGGTTCAAACCTCACTGGAGAGTTCTCTTCATTCATCCCTTAAGCAATTTGTTCCTCTGATTTGTGACATGCCGTCTTACTTTGCTTCAACATTTCTATGACCTGGGTCCTTTGACATTTTCTACACTCATAACATTTTCGTACAGTCAATCGAATCAACTTCTTCCTGAGCATAAATATTTAAATGTGTGGTTGTCCTTTACGTGTTGTCCAATATGTGTTTTATTTTTGTGATGTAATCCAGCATCATATCTAAAATGGGAACACTGCAGTCCATTTTTTTTATTAGCTTAAACTGTTACAGGTCAATGCATAATATCCTTTTGGACACAATATTTGTTATTTCTGCACTTTGTAAATATAGTTTCAATCATGTAACAGCCCGTTTTCATCCCCAAACTTGATAAGCACTTCCAGTTTTACATGTATGTTGTTATAATGATCATTAGAGGAAAAAAAATGACTTCATAAAATGCTTTGTGTAATATGTAATAACTGCTAATGTTCTGTATGTGAAACCGAAATAAAAGAGAGAAAATGTCTTTTTCACATAACTATTTTCTGTCAAATCGTAGAGCATGTAATTCTCCCTGCAGACAGCAGAGGGCTTGTGTCCCCAGACAATAGTTACCGCCGTGTAATAATGCCTTTATTTACACCTTGTTAAATTATGGCGTGCTGACATTTACAGTCCTGCATTTTGGTGGTGTTCTTACATGAATGTTTCAAAGAACAGCTGGTTAAAAAGACACCTGCGCCGTGTTTTATTGCTGTGCAGCTGATCTCACAGGGCGCATGGATGAGTTACCTCTCTATACTGTGTGGCGTCTCTACAAAACCATTTACCAAAAAAAAACAACAAAGCGTTCGAGGAATGAACCGCCTGCGGATCTGAGCCAACAATCCTATGTTTTTTTGTTTTGTTTTGTTTTTTAAACTGCACAGAGCGATAAGCTCCTCTGTGTCAGGTCGGCATGGAAGTGGATAGTCTTTGTTTGATCTTTAAGGACTGGCCCACTGCAGCGAGTCTATTGTGCGTAAAGTTTGCGCGTTTCTGGATGTGTTTCAGTTTGATTTACACCAAATCCTTAGTGTTATATGAGGACAAGTTGGGTGGCGACCGCGGGCAATCGTGGCAAACCTCGATTTTTACGCACGCTCATAGCCACACTGACTCACACCGTCTTTATCTTATTTTCCTGAGCGCCTAGCGGCCTGTTTCCTCATGTCAGAGCACTCAGCGCAGAGGCAACATGGCGCACGGAGTTTGGTTCGGCCGGAAAGGCCGTGTGATTATTTGCGCACTGCAATCGCTCCTTTTTCTGTCGATCTCCTTGCTTGTTGCGCACAGACACAGAGGTCTGGGTCAGTTCGTGAAGTTAAACAATGAGGGCAGATGCGCACAAATGAGCCGACTATCCTAAAACAGGTCATTCATTCAGATGTGTTTAAAGCTGATATTATATACCAGTCACTATTATAAACTTCACCTGGATGCACAATCACGTGCACGTACATGTGTGCGCGTGTGTTTGAGTGCGTGCGTGTAAGTGTGCATGTGTGTGTGATTGTGTGTGTGTGTGTGTGTGTTCGGAGGGTGAGTGTCACGGCCCTCTGCAGACGGGGGGTTGGGTAGCAGTGCCGATTGGTTGCTGCTCACCAACACAGTCAGTCTGGGCTTGTTTTAACATAACCGGGGGCACTTCGACAGCAGGCAAAAATCATGTAGTAAATAAGCCGCTGTGGCTGTTAGGGGACCGGTTATGGCACACTGAATTTCGGCGCTGTAAGATGTTGCAGCGTAATTGGGATTTTCTTGTTATTTTGTATCTAGTGTGACAGTTTTTTTTTCAGAGGGCCGCCGCTGATGAGGCGATGAAGTGCCGAGAATGAGAGCTGTGCCTTGGCCTACTACTAGTGCTGCTGCAGCTGGGATTGTGCAGATCTGCTCTCACAAACCGAGAAAAACACTCGCTTTGTGCCACATTCTCAAAGATCCGCTGTTGGTTTCACGGTGACCGACCTCCAAATGGTGAGTTTTTCACGTTTTTCCACGTGTTGGTGGTGTGTGGTGAACTTGGTGCCGATCAGCCCTTTTTTTGTGAGTTAATAGTAGCTTCCTATGTCGGTGTGCGGCTGTAGCTTGTTTGTGTGAGCCACTCAGTGTTTCTGTGATGGCTCAGTGTCACCACCTCTACTACAGCCTCAGCGCTCCTCCATTGACTGTACGAGTCAGCGATCGCCATGACCCGCGATCATCAAACAAAGCGGCGCTATTTTCTAATAATTTGTGAATGAATTATGTTGGACGGTTGTGTTTTGGTGTTTTGCCTTGTGCCGTCCGACTGGCCTCTGGAATGGAGGCCATGCAATGTCGGCTTATTGGTGTGTGTGTATGTGTGTGCGCACAGTCCGTCGCTGCTGGGCTCTTTTCACAGGTTTCTGTCCGACTGGATTTTGTTTACGAAATCTATCTATGTCAGCATGCGTTCTTGTTTTGTACAGTAGGCTACACGAGCCTCAGTAACACCCACTGACTGCATTTAGTGGGAAACTTCAATGGCACATTTCCCTCATCTGACCCTGCTTCTTTTTTATTTGACAGGCTAAAGGCATGACAACATGAATCAGTCATACAGACCAGGTCTTAGGGTTGGCTCAGTGTTTGGCTCAAGCCAGCCAGAGCTGAGGCCCCGCAATGGCCTTGTGAGCACTTCCTATGGCAACCAGTGTGGCATTGTCAAGCGAGGATCAGACCAGTCGTCGGCGGTGCAGTTGCCATCCTCCAGCCTCAAACAACCTGCTTTACTGGGGTACAGTCAGCCTGACCGGTCTCACAGCTACAACCAGCTGAGGAGGCCGCAGGACCTGAACACTGTGTCCAGCAAACCGGACCCAGACAGGGACCTCCATCCTCGCAACAACCTGCGCTGTGCAAGCCCAATCAGTGATGATGATGATGAGTTTGAGGCGCCTTCAGTGCAGCTGCCTTCTTCTCCGAGCAATGAGGACTTGGAACCTTTTGACACTCTTCAGGACGTGAGCAGAAATGGCTTCTCCCCTCACAGTTCTGACAGCTTTGAGCACTGTTCTCCCATCCCGAATGGTTACCTGCATTTTGGATCCACGCTGTTTGACAGCAGTGACATAAAGGAGGAGGAGGAGGATGGAGAGCATGACAGCAGTGAGGAGCTTGCGCCTTTTCACCGCTC